AATCCTCCGCCTGCGGCGCTGGCACTCCAGGTTCTAGTCCCGGTCAGGGCGCCAGATTCTGTCCCGGTTGCTCCTCTTCCAGTCCAGCTCTCTGCTGTGGAGGATGGCCCAAGTGCTTGGGCCCTGCACCCGCATGGGAGACCAGGAGGAAGCACCTGGCTCCTGGCTTCGGATTGGCACAGTGCGCCGGCCGTGGCAGCCATTTGGGGAGTGAACCAACGGAAGGAAGACCTTTCTCTCTGTCTCTCTCTCTCACTGTCTAACTCTGCCTGTCAAAAAAAAAAAAAAAAGTTGTTTAATACTTGTATTTGAATATGGTTGTGTCTAATTGGAGAATCCCAACTAAGTAGTACAGTCAGTATGTGAAGATTCTAGTCACAGATTACTAAAAACTTGCTTTGCTGTCTTCTGCCTTGCTTGCTCCCCCTGCCCCTTCTTTCTTTCTGTTCTTTTTTTCTTCTGCCTCCCTTCTTCCCTCCCCTCACTTTGTTTCTTTTTGTTTTTTAAGCTTTATTTTATTAGTATGAAAGACAGAATTACAGAGAGAGAGGTGGAGACAGAGAGTGAGTCTTCCATCTGCTGGTTCACTCCCCAAATGGCCACAACATCCAGAGCTGAGCTGATCCAAAGCCAGGAGCCAGGAGCTTCTTCTGGGTCTCCCGTGTGGGTACAGGGGCCCAAGTGCTTGGGCCATCTTCTACTGCTTTCCCAGGTGCATTAGCAGGGAGCTGGATTGGAAGTGGAACAGCTGGGAGTTGAACTAGCACCCAATTGGGATGCTGGTGCTACAGGTTGGGTCTTTAACCCACTGTGCCACAGCACCAATCCCTCTCCCTGCTTCCTTCCTTCTGTCTTTTCTTCCACCTTTCTCCCTCCTTCTTTCTTTCTCCTTTCTTGCTTGCTTGCTTGCTTTCTAAGGTTGTATTTATTTATTTGAGAGAGAGAGTTAGATACAGTGAGAAGGAGAAACAGAGCAAGGTCTTCCTTACACTGGTTCACTCTCCAAATGGCTGCAATGGCTGGAGCTGGGCCAATCTGAAGCCAGGAGCCAGGAGCCAGGAGCTTCTTCCTTGTCTCCCATGCGGGTGCAGGGGCCCAAAGACTTGGGCCATCTTCCACTGCTTTCCCAGGCCACAGCAGAGAGCTGGATTGGAAGAGGAGCAGCTGGAAATAGAACCGGTGCCGATATGGGATGCCGGTGCCGCGGGTGGAGGATTAACCTACTGTGCCAAGGTGCCAGCACCCTCCTTTTTCATTCTTTCATCAGTAGTATAGTGAATTGTTGTGTTTTCTCTCTCTCTCTCTGTTAAGATTTATTTTATTTATTTGAAAGGCAGAGTTACAGAGAGATAGGGGGAGAGAGAGAGATCTTCCATCTGCTGGTTCACTCCCCAAATAGGTGCAATGGCCAATGCTGGGCCAGGCCGAAGCCAGGAGCTAGGAGCTGCATCTGGGTTTCCCACGTAGGTGCAGGCACCCAAGCACTTGGACCATCCTCTGCTGGTTTTCCTAGTGCATTAGCAAGAAGCTGGATTGGAAGTGGATCAGGTGGAACTCGAACCTGCACCCATATGGGATGCTGAATTTGCAAGTAGTCGCTTAACCCATTACACTACAGTGCTGGCCCCTGTTCTCTCTTTATGAAAGTGGATGAGACATCAAATAATTAAATAGTCAGGACTATAAGACAAGAGAGGATACTGTTGTTCAAATATGAAATATAAGTGCTACAGCAGTGTATGCCGTGTGTGTCAGTAGATGGTCAAACAACCACACAGGCTAAAAGAAAGATTGGCTTTCCATTGAGAAGATGTTCTCTCTTTGGATTGAAGGTAAATAAAATATATCCAAGTAGGCCTAATATTAAAGATATTCTTCTCTTTCTGTAAAAGTGACATATAATATATAATAATGATCAAGAAGTCATGTGTTCAGTTTGCTTTGTAGATCACCACACTATCAGCTAGGGCTGGAATCTGGTGTGGAAATGATTAGCTAAGAAGACAAATCTAGGGGCCAGCACTGTGGCATAACAGATAAAGCTGCTGCCTGCAGTGCCAGCGTTCCATATGGGTGCCAGTTTGAGTCCTAATGCTCCACTTGCAATCCAGCTCTCTGCTATGGCCTGGGAAAGCAGTAGAAGATGGCCCAAGTGCTTGGACCCCTGCATCCGGGTGGGAGACCTAGAAGAAGCTCCAGGCTCCTGGCTTCCGATCAGCCCAGCTCTAGCCATTGTGGCCATTTGGGGAGTAAACCAGTGGATGGAAGACTCTATCTCTCTGTTTCTGTCTGCCTCTTTGTAACTCTGTCTTTCAAATAAACAAATAAATCTTTATTTAAAAAAAGAAGAAGAAGAAGACAAATCTACTGTACTTCCTTCAAACCCTAGAGCTTGCTTGTTTTGGTTTAATTGCTTGAAGGCCTTGTCCATTAAAAATTCTCTTTATTTTGATCCTATAGTTAAAAAAGATCGGCTTTTTTTTTTTTTTTTTTTTTTTTTTACTAAATTTACTAAATAATGAAACAAAATTTTCTGTTGCGGCAGACTATATACAGAAAAGCAGAATCAACTACCAAAGACTTAGGATTTGAAATCAGATTTGGAAAGTCACAATCTTTTTGGCCTTAGGTTTTCTGTCTGTGAAATGGAGAGGAGGAGGAGAATGTACATGATAGGGTTACTGTAAGAATTGACCTATCTGCTCGAATAATGCTACCTCATTTTGTCTGCATACCACATGCATTCTGCACACAATATCAGATTTTCCCCCCCATTTAGAAGGGCTTTTATCCTGTCCCATCCCACTCTTCCAGCCCTTCCATCTGGCCATTTCCTGTTCGTCTTTTAAAACTTAGCTCAGCCTAACCTCATATTTTCTGACTTTGAGTTTGGTCCATCTGTGCCAGTATCTTATTACCCAAGGAGTTTACCTCATTGCACTCCACATTATATGCTATCTACTTAATTTTTGGTTCTCTCCATTGAATGACAAACTCTTTAAGAGTAGTGACTTGTGGCCGGCGCCGTGGCTCAATAGGCTAATCCTCCACCTTGCGGCGCCGGCACACCGGGTTCTAGTCCCGGTCAGGGCGCCGGATTCTGTCCCGGTTGCCCCTCTTCCAGGCCAGCTCTCTGCTATGGCCAGGGAGTGCAGTGGAGGATGGCCCAAGTGCTTGGGCCCTGCACCCCATGGGAGACCAGGAAAAGCACCTGGCCCCTGGCTCCTGCCATCGGATTAGCGCGGTGCGCCGGCTGCAGCAGCGGCCATTGGAGGGTGAACCAACGGCAAAAGGAAGACCTTTCTCTCTGTCTCTCTCTCTCACTGTCCACTCTGTCAAAAAAAAAAAAAAAAAAAGAGTAGTGACTTGTAAATCTTGTTCATTTTTTGTGTCTTCATCGTCAAGCATGGTGCCTGATTTAAAGAAGATATTCTTTGATCATTGGATGGAAAGAAGAGAGGCAGGAATAAATGAGCTGGTTTAAGTGAAGGCATTTTGTAAACTATAAAGTGCTGTGCAAATGTTAGTATGGATTTGCATTACATTCCTCAATAATTCTCTTTAAATATTTGAATGCCTATTTGTAGAAGGTTCTGATTTTGCTGATATAATTCTTAAATATTGGCTATTTTGGTACAATATCTAGGGTCAACATCTTAAATTAATGAGTTAGGGTTAACTAGACAGATATATTAATCTGTAATTACAGTACAATTCAAAATTAGAAAAATAAAAATTGTGCTTCACATCTGGTGGCTCAACAGTGTCCACCTCAATTGTTACTGTTTCACGTTTTACAGTGAAAAATAAAACTTGATGTATCATATTGAAGATCAGTTGGACTATTACATCTTCTTGGAGCCTGGGCTGAAAATAAGCACCTCTAAATTTTATTAGTATTATGAGCTTAACATTTAATACAATATTGCGTATGTACTAATACCTCTCTTCCGATGTTTTAATGGCAAGGATATTGGATTCCGACTCGACTCACTACATACCATCCTGCAACAGGAAGTCCTGTTACAAGAGGATGTGGAGCTGATTGAGCTACTTGATCCCAGTATCCTGTCTGCAGGGCAGCCTCAACAACAGGAAAATGGACACCTTCCAACATTTTGCTCCCTGGCAACCCCTAATATTTGGTACTGTCCAGAAAATATCTCTCCTGACTGCTTACATATAGAACATTAACAGAGGAAATTCATCATCATGTTCTGCATTATAAAGGCATTATAAACATGCCATACATTAAGCATTACAATTAATGTAATAATTGCCAGAGGTAACAATTGCTTTTCTGAAAGAATTACTATTTAAAATTAAACTGGAAAAAATCCAATTTGATTATTATATTTTTCCAAACTTAATAAAATTAATTCTGTGCTTAGCAGCTCAACAAGCAAACCCAAAAAGAATCTCCTACTTGTATACCTGTGTACATGTGTATGCAAACCTAGCCAGTCCTTTATGTTTCCTTAAATTAACAGATTATGTCATAACCACATTGTAGAGACACAAAGGTTAGGATGGGACATGGAGGTAAACAAGTTAACTCTTTCTGTGTTGGCTAAGAAAGGATTGTACAGTACATAATTAAAAAAAAAAAAAGTATGGGTGGTAGAAATAATTTTATTAGTCACACTATCCTAAAACATTAACACTTGAAGTATTTGAGTCTGATGCAGGAATTCCAGGCCATAATCTATGGGGGATGAAAAGGAGGAGTATGAATAGTAGAAAGGAGTAGTAGTAAAGAATTGTTATATCCTCTTCAAATCAAAAAATACATTAAATTATTGCTCCAACTCTTGTGCTTATACAAGCAGTTGCATTCGTTGGCCTCAGTGTTCAGAATTTTGTCTTTCTTGTCACACTGATGAGTTTCATACTGTAACAAGTATGATGTTTTCCAAATCTGCAGTTACTCAGCTATCATCATGAAGAAGTAAAGCATCCTATTTTTTGGAATAGAAGCATTTAAGATGTTGCTAGATGAACTATAGGTTTTAAGAATTTACTATTTTACTTTTAAGTTTCCTTTAGTCACAAATGTGATTAAATAACTATGAATGCTATAAATGCTTTTAGAGTTTACTGTTAATACATTTAAGTATATAATGAGATTTTGCTTTATCATTTAGAAAAAGGGGAATTTCAAAGGTAATCAGGGCTGACAAGTGTTTATGAAAAAGCATTCTTATCTGTGGCTTTCTTTGCAGTGTGACTGTAACTCTTTCCAAGTGTTGTTGACATTGTTTTTCAGATAGTCTCAGGTACATCCCCCTGTGCTCCCTTCTTAGTTAAATATACACATTTTAATGAAATCCTTCATTGCTTAAAAGAAATGTTTTAGTCTATGATATGGAATTGGCCTGAATAAGAAATTTTAGATATATTTTATCTTAATTAAAACAGTGTAAAAGAACAAAGTTTGTCCAAATCATGGTCTGTGCCAAGTATATAGTTTTTAAATTGGTGATAATTATTTGAAGTGTAGATCACTTTTTAAAACAATTACTTGTCAAGTATTTATTCCTCCTAGTTGGAAAAGTGTTTATTTTCTTGATGTCTTTACAAATAAGTCTGATTATAGGAAAAAGGAATTCATAGTATGTCTGAAAGAATATTTTCCCTTTGAAATCCATGAAATTAGATTTTAAAATCTGAAATGGACTTTTTTGGTAGAGGGTTCTGTGTCTTTTCTTAAAAGTGATTTCTGAAGATACCTATTTCTAATGTCTTTTTCCTAAACCTGATAACTCAGATAGCAATACCCTAGCATGACTGGCAAGCTACTAGGTATTTTAAAACTACAAAGATACTTTAGAAAGTTGATGGACAATGGAATTAAAAGGTAACTTTATTTTGGTGCAAAAAGTTTTTTAAAATCTTTGCATAGTTTGTTCATAATACATATTTTTCATGAACTTTTTGAAGGCCTCTCATGTCTACATTTCAAAAAGTTTTTACCAAAATAAACTTAACTTTTAATTCCATTTCCCATGAACTCTAAAGTACCCTCTTATTCACATTACCTTATTAAATATCATTTTTTAAGTCTTGCTTTACAAAGAAGCTAGCATTGTCTATTTTAGTAAACCTAAGTTTACCATCGCTTTTACTGATTGATGGCTCATTTTTCTTTTTCTTGTCTGATGGATGTCATTTTCTTGATTTCTCTGTTCCTAGGGATGTCTCAATGCTATTTGCCTTCATTAGTTTGCTCATTATGCTTCCCAGTTGGTGGATTATATCTTCCTGGCTGGTTTGGGGAATAATTCTATTTGTTTATCTGATCATTCGAGCCTTGAGATTATGGAGGACAGCCAAACTACAAGTGACCCTAAAAAAATACATTTTCCATTTGGAAGATATGGCCACAAATAGCCGGGCTTTCACTAACCTTGTGAGAAAATCTTTACGTCTCATTCAAGAAACTGAAGTCATTTCCAGAGGATTTACACTGTGAGTTCATTTTTATTTTATTTTTCAAATGATTTTTTCTACTAAATAGTTCAGGGAGACTATTACCTGTTTACATCTCCATGTTGTATTTATAAGGAAAAATGGGTTTTTCTTTAGCACTTGTTAAAATCCATTAACTGCTAAGTGAAGAAATAAATAACACTATATAGTATATTTGATATATATGAATGAATCTGTTCATCTACTTTGACAAGCCAAAGTACTTGGAGAATCCAGATTATTCCATATGTTGCCATGTAACTATGTAAGATATATAGAGAGAATGCATGGCACTGAACCTAGCATGCTGTAGTTGCTCAGTAAATGTTGATTGTCAAAGGCCTTCATCCCTCCATTTAAATGATAGCTGTGCCTGACATGAATTCATTTTGAAACATCTCAACATCTATTAATAATACTCTTCAGGTAAATATTAGGAGATACTAAGCCACTGAAACTCAGCATATCATACAAATAGTGATGTTTCACATTCCTTTTGGAAATTAAATATCACCAGTCTAGCTGTAAGTATGTTAGAAGCTACAAGATATAGTGGTTCCCTATTCCGTTTTAAAAAGGAAAGTTACATTTATTGAGCACCAACTATGACCCATATCCTTTGCTAGGCACTTCTGCATACAACTAAAGGCACACATTGTAATTGATAGAGTAAATACTCAGACCCATTTCATCAACCTTCTAAAGCCTGTTTCCAGTATGCTAGGCTGCCTGCCAAACACTAACACGGACAGCTGTACTGCAGTATATTTAAATGATTTACATAACCTTTGTAATCTATAGGTGGGAGAAAGTAAGTAAATGGGGAAAAATAATTATTGCTTTTAATGAGCTATATCTGGAAAAGCGAGAGTGAAAAACCTTCAGTAGTCATCATCGCATCCTTCACTCTGCTGTGCTCTAGAAAAAAAATAATCTGAACATAACAACTGTATCTGCAAACTCATGGCGCAGAGGCATGAAGAATCTCCAGCAGTTTTCTTGTTCTTCAGTGTGTTGTGTTCTACACAACAATTCTGAGTATTTAAATAATACAAGGTGTAAGAGGGCTTAACTTCTGCTCAACTCTAAAGCAACCCATGGCGTCTGCTGATTTTGTCCTCCTCTTAGGTTAAGTCCGCCTGTTGATGAAGGATAGGAGACTGCAGCAAATTTTGAAAGTTAAAAAGCTAAAGATCTCAGCTCCTTTTCATTCTTTTTCATACTGGAAACAGGCTTTAGAAAGGCGATGAAATGGGTCTGAGTATTGAGAGAGAGAGACAGAGAGAGAAAGGTCTTCCTTTTGCCGTTGGTTCACCCTCCAATGGCCGCCGCTGCAGCCGGCGCACCGCGCTGATCCTGGCAGGAGCCAGGAGCCAGGTGCTTTTCCTGGTCTCCCATGGGGTGCAGGGCCCAAGCACCTGGGCCATCCTCCACTGCACTCCCTGGCCATAGCAGAGAGCTGGCCTGGAAGAGGGGCAACCGGGACAGAATCCGGCGCCCCAACCGGGACTAGAACCCGGTGTGCCGGCGCCGCAAGGTGGAGGATTAGCCTATTGAGCCACGGCGCCGGCATCCTTTTCATTCTTAAACAGCATTTCGCTGAGAGGACTAAGTAAAGTGGCTCCACTCTTTGTCTAACTTCTGCTTGCAGTTCGCTGCCTCTTGTCATTTCCCTCTTTTACCCATATTATGGAAGTGGCATGGAAAGGTAAAGTGGGTCAGTGAGACATGATTTACCTCCAGATGGTGACTTTCTACCTATTCAGATAGCAGATAGGCAGAAGAAGTATTGGAAGAAACTATGCTTTGTCTCTAAGTGGACAATGTATTTTTAAAAATTAGGAGAAATAATAGATTTTAAAACAAATTTTTTAGGATTTTTGGCTTCTAAACTTGATTTAATAAAGTAGAGCACAAGCAGTCATGCTGCATATTGTCATCATGAGTGCTGCTTTGTTTCTGCTTCAATTTGTCCTCTCTGGCAAATAATTTAACCCTTCATTGCCTCCTTTCTTATATTTGAAAATAAACCTGTCAATCACTGTTCTTTCGATGCTTGAATGTATTTTTGTTTGGTTTCATAGTTTTAAATTTTTGAATTGGAAGTCTTGTCTTAGAGATTTGTTGCTATAGTGAGTGTAGGAAATTTATAAATGCCAATATTTTATTTGGTTATTGGGAGAAGGTACTGGTTAGGTGAAAAAACTATTATCCAGTAGCTGTGTACTATTGAATCATGTGTACTTTCAGTTATACATGAATACATTCTGTGTAACTGTTGCAAATAGATTCTGTTCATCAATCTTAGGGAAAGTGCCATGAAATGTGCTTCCTCTTGAACAGTGTGAGAGTAGCTCTGCTGCTGCATAGTAATCCTTACTTTGCCTTTCTACTTGCATTCCCCTGTTGGCCACTGGTCCTGTTATCTTTCTGCGTCCCCTACTTCATTTTGAGTAGGTAAGTGCCAGTGGCAGCAGGTGGGTAAGTAATTTTGCCCTACTTTTCTGAATGTACAGAATGTATTGTTATATGTAGTATTTGATTGTTCTGTACAAGTGACCAAATATATGATTATTGAGCATATGTAAATATATATTAAGAATATAAATTTTTTATAATTAAGCCCTTCAAACATCCTGTATATATATATAGATTTTGAGAGCTGAATGTGAAATACTTCCAGTGTAGTATATTTCAGCGAGTAGAGTATCTGCATAAAAAGATGCAAACTCTTACATATTCTTACATTTCTATTATATCTCAACTAAAATTCATTGTTTCTGCATATCAGAGGAAGCCTTAACTCTTGTGAGATTTTCATCTTTCATATGTCTTCTTTTTACTGGTGGCTATGTGCATATCAAGGAAATAAGTGGCTATTTGTAAGACATGAGTGGGATACTTATAAGTACTTTCTAATGTAAGTTTAGAAAAAGACATTTTTTTCTAAGTTTAATAGAATTGTGGATTTAGGAAACAAATGCTTTAGGACACCTGTACAGTTGTATCACATTTTACTTTTCAAGTTTGCTTGACAGGGTCAGTGCTGCTTGCTCATTTAATAAAGCTGGACAGCATCCCAGTCAGCATCTCATCGGTCTTCGGAAAGCTGTCTACAGAACTGTCAGAGCCAACTTTCAAGCAGCAAGGCTAGCTACCCTATATATGCTGAAAAAATATCCTTTTCTGTCTGTCCATGAGAATAAGCCATGTTTCCAGAGTCCTGACTATAGATACTGTAGTTACATCCTGTACATGTGAACTATAAACTAAGATTGCCTGTTTTGAAACTAATTTCCATCATCACTTTTATTTTAAAACTGGAAATACATTCCAAGAGGAATGACAATAATAGACAGGAGGAAGTTCTTCTGCTCTTGTGTGGCTCATTTGTAACAAGGAAAGGACTGGAAGTGCCTCCCTTCACTGACCCAGAGAATAAAGTCAGAAGAGCCTGGATTTCCTAGGTCTGGCATTTTCAAAAATTACTCACTATGGCACATTTGCATCATGGCATAATTTGCATCATGGTAATAACCTGGCAACAGGAAATCTTTTCCCCTTCAAAAACCAGGCTTTAGAGGCAGACCGACTTACATTCAAATCTTGGCTCTACCAGTTACTGCCTAGCGAACCTTAAATAGTTTCTTAACCTCTTTGTACTTTGCTACTCATCTTTAAAATAGCAATAATAACATAATCTTCCTTACTGTGTTTTTGTTAGAGCATATGAGTTAATGCCTGTAAAATGATCAGTGTCCAGCCTATAAAAAGAAGGCAAAGAGTGCATGACACAATAAGTATGTCACTTAAATTTACTTAATCAGGAAATTGGTTCCATTAGCTAGAAAACAAAGGTATATAAGATCTTTGTTTTGATAAAGATTCATAAACAAGTTAAATTGTGAATAAATGAAGGGCAAGAAAATTACACTATACCTTCAGTATACTAGGTGTTACGGCACTGATAATTATAGTGCTTAAAGTTTACAAAATATTTTGTATTCTATCATCATATCCTACACAAACCTTCCTAGCTACATTGTCTTTTCTGTACTTTATGAGAAAATAAAAATAAAAGTCAAGTGACTTGCTCAGTGTCACACAACTAGTAATATGTTGTATATTGACTATAGGACTTAGAACTTGAATCTCTCTCTCTCTCTCTCTCTCTCTCTCTCTCTCTTTCTCTCTCTCTCTCTCTCTCTCTCTCTCTGTATATATTTATTGTGCCATACTACCCCTTTGAAAATGGAGAGAAAGCATTTTAGTTCTTGTTAAGAATTTGTGCATTCAGTTTCTCCACTGCCTGCTACTTTGTGACACACTCCTCTAGGTGCTGGGAAGACAGAATAAATATGTGCACTACCCTCTTAGAGATGTCTGAGTACGATCAATGGGTAAGCCAGTGCTCGTCATAGAGCATAAATGCCCAAAGTGCCTTCCAACACAGCAGGACAACATGCTTAGCTTATGGGGTCAGACAAGGCTTTCAGGGAGGTGATACCTGAACTGACCCACAAAGAATGAATACAGGTTGGTCATAGGAATAAAAGTCTTTCATTCCATGACAGTGCCATCTGAACTGCAAGTAGTCATTCAGTAACTATTCACTGAAGGTAAACTCAGTGCTGACTAATATGCTAGTCACTAGATATACGATGGCAAATACAACAGACATGGTCCCTGCTTCATGGAACTTACCATACAGTGAGCAGTAGGAGAATGAGGGGGACAGCCTGACAAAAATTGCACATTATACTAGTCACTTTTCTAATATTGAGGGCCCAGCAGTGGATAAAGTAGTGAACACCCTTGTTCTCTTGGGCCTTATCTTCTAGTGGATGAGATAATCAGTTAAAAGTGAACAAATAAGATGTCCAGTTATAATAGTTACTATAAAAGGAAAAAATAACAGCAGTAGGCTAGAGAGTACTTCATGTGATGCTGCTTTTGATGGGACGACAGGGACCTCTCTCAGATTTGATTGATGAGGAAGATCTGAGAGAATATTCCAGTTAGATGGATTATGGATTATAGAGATCTGGACAGGAATGTGTTTAGCATGATTGGTATACATAAAGAAGAGCCTCAAGACAGGAGGCCAGATTGTAGTCTCAATACAAGAAATTTTAAGGAATCAAAGTAAAAAATAATCCACCAACCACTTATTTGAGAAGACCAGTAAGATACGTAAACTTTCATATACCTGATCAAAATAAAAGGCAGGTTTATAAGATTAGTAATGAGAATACAACTGTAACCGTAGGTGTGGGAGACATTAAAATAATTATAATAGTGTAGTATATGAAACTGTGGTAGCAAATAAGAAACTCTAAGGGGAAATAGTTCTGTCCTGTCAAAATACAAACTGACACATGTGATTTAAAAAATACTGTTTTGGGGCCCACGTTGTGGTGCAGCAGGTTAAGCTGCTGCCTGCCTACAACGCCAGGATCACATTTGAGCTAGTTCAAATCCTGGCTGCTGCACTTCAGATCCAGCTCTCTGCTAATGTAACTACTAAAGCAGCAGAAGATGGCCCAAGTACATGGGCCAAATCCATCCACATGGGAGACACTGATGGAGTTCCTGGCTCCTCTCTTCAGCTTGGCCCATTCTTGACTGTTGAGGACCTTTGGGGAATGAACCAGCAGATGAAAGAGCTCTCTCTCCCTCTCTTCCTCTCTCTCTCCCCACCCCCAACTCTGCCTTTCAAATAAATGAATAAATCTTTTAAAAATAAAACAAAAATATCCTATTTTAAAAAGAAAATATCGGGTTACATGCAAACAAAATATGGGTAACTATTATAAAAGATAATTACAGTTTTTTCATTTCACTCATTTTATTTTCTTAAGATTTTTTGCATCTTTAAAATTTTTATTAATATAAAAAAACAGATTTCTTAGGTACAGCTCTAAGAAAATAACTAGACTTCCCTACCCCTCCAAACTCTCCAATCTCCCTCCTTCATTACTTTCTTTTTCCCCCTTTGTTTTTACAAAGACGTATTTTTAGTTAACTCTATAGTCACAGGCTTAATTCACCACTAAACATAATAATCAGCAAATAAAAAGCAAATGAAGACCACCGTTCCACAGGAATATAAACGAGGGCTAAAAACAGCAATCACTCAGATGTCCATTTCATTACTATACAGTTTTTAGTATTCTATGTTAACTGCCAGATTACAAAGTTCTTGACACTACTGTGGAATGATCTCTAAGTTGTACTGAGTGAAAAAAATAGCAAATGCACAGAACAGTGTTTATAGTACCCTTCCATTTGTGCCTAAGAGACTGTATATATGTGGAAATAACTAAGTGTGTTTGTGTTTGCACACACATATGTGTACATACCTGTTGACTATGTACTTACCTCCAGCTACATGTTAATATTTGTGTTTGCTTTTACATATGTATGTATAAAATACCCTGAAGAATATAGAAGGTATTAGTGACAGGGTTTGCCCTTGCCTTTGGGTAAGAAAAGTGAGTGGTAAAGAGGTAGGGATGGGAAGCAGTTTTCACTGCACCCCTTAATATCTCATGAATTTTGAATCCTGGGAATGTGCTATCTATTCAAAAACTAAATGAATAAGAAAAAGATTACCTGGTCCAAATGTTTTTAAAAATTATTCATTTTGGAACCTGCACTATGGTGTAGCAGGTAAAGCCACTACCTGCACTGCCGAGATCCCTTATGGGTGCTGGTTCAAGTCCCAACTGCTCTTCTCCCAGTGCAGCTCTCTGCTATGGCCTGGGAAAGCAGTAGAAGATGGCCCAAGTCTGTGGGCCCCTGCACCCTCATGGGAGACCTGGAAGAAACTTCTGGCTCCTGGCTTTGGATGGGCTCAGCTCCAGGCAGCCATTTGGGGAGTGAACCAGCAAATGGAAGACCTCTCTGTCTGCCTCTCTGTAAGTCTGCCTTTCAAATAAATAAATCTTTGAAAAAATTTATTTGTTTGTTTGTTAGAATTTATTTTATTGAAAGGCAGGGAGGCAGAGGAAAAGAGAGAGCAAGTTCCCATCTAGTGGTTTGGTCTCCAAGTGCCTGCAACAGCCAAGACTGAGTAAGGCTGAAGCCAAGAGCCAGGAGCTCAGTCCAAGTGTTTCACGTGATTGGCAGGGACCCGACTACTTGAGCCACAACCTGCTGCCTTCCAGGAAACTGGGATGACCAGGGCTCAGACTTCAACATCTCAAGCCACAGCTTAGCCACCATGTCAAACCCACCCTGAGATGATTTTATTTTTTAAAAAAATAAAGAGTATAGAAAAGGTTAAAAAAAAAAAAAAGTCAAGGAAGCCTGTGTTGTGGTACAGAGGTTAAGCCATAGCTTGTGTCCCATATCAGAACGCCAGTTCAAGCCCCAGCTACTCTACTTCCAATGCAGCTTCCTGATGATGCATCCTCGGAGGCAGCAGATAACAGCACAAATGCCTGCCCGTGCCTGTGTAGGAGACCAGGATGGGGTTCCAGGCCCCTGACTCACGCCCGACCTAGTCCTGGCCATTGCGGCCATCTGGGGAGTGAGCCAGTGGATGAAAGACCTCTCTCTCTCCCTCTCCCTGTCTTTCTATCTGCCTTTCAAATAAATCAAGACTATAGAAAGAACTCCCCTAAGTTATTGTATTCATAAAAATACTATAGTCTCAGTATCAAAATATGATGTATTACAAAATAAAAGCTAGACTGTCTCATAAGTAGAGATGTAAAATAGATAGAATATAAATTTAATATGGCACAATTATCAAAGGATGATTACAAAATGACCAAATAGGACCAGCGCCGTGGCTCACTAGGTTAATCCTCCACCTGCAGCGCCAGCAACCCGGGTTCTAGTCCCAGTTGGGGCACCGGTTCTGTCCCAGTTACTCCTCCTGCAGTCCAGTCTCTGCTGTGGCCTGGGAGGGCAGTGGAGGATGGCTCAAGTGCTTGGGCCCTGCACCCGCATGGGAGACCAGGAGGAAACATCAGGCTGCTGGCTTCAAATCAGCACAGCGTGCCAGCCGTAGCAGCCATTTGGAAGGTGAACCAATGGAAGGAAGACCTTTCTCTCTGTCTCTCTCTCTCACTGTCTAACTCTGCCTGTCAAAAAATAAAAATAAATAAAAATAAAAAACAAAATGACCAAATAGGATCTTGCTTAGAAATATAAATATGGTTCACTATCAAAATTTTTTAGGTATAATTTTTCACAAAAACAATTAAAAAGAGAAAAATCATTTTTATAGCTATCGATATATGACCACGAGGAAGAGGAAACAACAGTATTTTATATAGATAGAATATGCTTAGTACTTCACAAGTGTCCCATAAGATATCTGAGGTATTAGGTTAATACTTGTACTTAAGGATCAGGCTTTTAGCCTAGCAATTAAGATGCCTCTGATTTCTTTGGGAATAGCTGGATTTGATTCCCAGCTCTGGCTCCTGATTCTAGCTGGTTAGCTTCCTGTTAATGAAGACCCTGGGAGGCAGTAATGATAGCTCAAGTAATTGGGTCCCCACCAACCACATGGAAGACAAGGAGTGAGTTCCCAGCTCCTGGCTTCGGATCCAGTCATTATGGACATTTGTGGAACTGGATGGGAGTGTGCTCGCTCTCTCTCTCTCTCTCTCTTTCTCTCTCTCTCTCTTTGCCCCCACCTCGCTCTCTGCCAGTCAAATAAATTTTAAAATACTTGTGTATTAGGTTTAAGACTAATTTCTGTTTAAAAACTGATACAAAGCTCCAGCAAAAGTTTACAATAAAGATTAGTAAATAATTTTGAACAATTTTACTGTACCTTTTAAACTTTAATGAATAGGCTTTGTTGATTGCCTTAACCTAATTTAACCTACCCCCTGAACTCTGAGAGTGACAATGTAACCAACTACATCTGTGTGGTGCCTTTTAAGGAGCTGGGCCTTGGACTTAGTGAAGAGCAGATTTCAGAAGAGGAAGCAGATAATCTTACAGATGGTTTCAGTCTGCCTGCATTGAAGGTAATCCATTTGTGAAAGTAAGAGCTAAGAAAAGAGATGGGCGTGGTTTGTTCCTGTGCTTTCTGAATGTACATGGTGCACCATGCTCCCCTTCATTTGCTGCTGTGTACTGCCATTATAAATGCCTTAGTAATATTTGTGACACTGTCTTTAAAAACTGAGAGCATCATAAAGGTCAGATGAGAGGATCTTTATATTTGGATTTCAGAATACTTACAGTTCTTATTATAGGAAATGCCTTCGAGTTTGGAGATAGGTGCGTTTAATAGTAACCAATGAGTGATTTTAAACTCATTTGTTTCAACAAATATGGATAAAGCATTTTAGATATACATCTTTTCTTGGAAAATTGCCAAAATTCTTGTTTAAAACAAGAATTTTTTTTTTCATATATTAAAAGGCACATAAAAGGATACGTTTGACTACATAAAAACTAGAATTTGTGGAGCTGGCATTGAAGTGCTGGTTCGAAGCCTGGCTGCTCCACTTCCCATCCAGCTTCCAGCTAATGTGCCTGGGAAGACAGCAGATGACGACCCAATTGTTTGGACCCCTTTTACCCCTATGGGAGACACAGATAGACTTCATCGCTCCTGGCTTTGGCCTGGCCCAATCCCAGCTATTATGGCCTCTGGGGAGTAAACCAGCAGATGGAAGATATTTCTGTCTATCTCTCTGTCTCTCCCTCTCCATTACTCTGCCTTTCAAATAAGTAAAAATTAAACTTCTAACTCCAGGGGCCAATGCTATGATAGTGGGTTAAGCCGTCACCTATAGCACTGGCATCCTATGTGGCACTGGTTCCAGACCTGGCTGTTCCACTTCCTATCCAACTCCCTGCTAATGCGACTGGAAAACAGCAGATGACAGCTCAAGTCCTTAGGCCTCTACACCCATGTGGGAGAACTAGAAGAAGCTCCTGGCTCCTGGCTTCGTCCTGGCCCAGCCCCGGCCATTGCAGCCATTTGGAGAGTGAATCCGAGGATGGAAGACCTCTCTTTTTGTCTCTCCATTTCTTTCTTTGTAACTCTGCCCTTCAAATAAATAAAATAAATCTTAAACAAAATAAAAAGGGAAAAAATAAAACTTCTCACTCCAAATATCACATAGTACCTTACATACAAACAACCAAAAAAAAAAAATGCCATGATTTATAACAGAGGGCTGGAATTTTTTCTGTATAAAGAAAATGGATATCTAAAACCTGTAGAAGATTGATCAGGTGTATGAACTAGTGGTTCACAAAGAAAGAGTACAAATTGCTAATAAATACAGTTTTCCACCTTAGTAATGAAAGAAATAGCAATAACAAGTTAGCCATTTTATCAATGAAGATTCAGGGAGATATCACACATTGGTGGTGAATCTATAAACTGATTCACTTTAGCCGTGAATACCAATCTTTGCAAACATGTGTACCCCTTACGACAACAACCTTACCTTCAAAGATATACCTGAAGTATGTTCATGATATTACAACAGCAACAAGTATTAGAGTTAAGCTAAAAGTTCAATAAAGTGGAATTGATAATCATTTATGTTGCAAAAACTTGATGAACTACTTTGGAATTAGTACTAGAAAAATATTGAAGAAAAATAACAGAATAACATAAATTAAAATCAATTATAAAAATCATACACTAAGATCCAAGTTTTATATATATGTATTTATTTAAAATTTATTACATTTATTTGAAAAGCATAGTTACACAGAGAGAGAGAGCGAGCGAGCGAGAGCTATCTTCCATCCACTGATATACTTCCCAAATGGTCACAACAGCCTGAGATGGGCCAGACCAAGGCCAGGAACCAGGAACTTCTTCCAGGTCTCTTATGTGGGTACAGGGCCCAAGGACTTGGGCCATCTTCTGCTGCTTTCCAAGACCATAGCAGAGAGCTGAATCAGAGCAGCCAGGACTCAACCCAGCACCCGTATGGGATACTGGCATCATAGGAAACAGCTTTATCCAAAACACTACAACGCTGGCCCCCTAGTTATATTTTTAATAAGTCAATCCAAATTTTTTAACTTCTATTTAAGTATTTAGCAAGCTATACTTAGATATTTCTCTGCTTCCGATCTTTAAAACTTTGCTTGATAGTATGAAAATCAATGCCTGTGTAGTTGACACCACTTATAAAGATCCATTTTGTTTTGAGAATGTATTAGTATCTACATCTGTTAGATTTTCCATATAAATGGATCTCTCTTTTGAGAGAATTTTCTTTTAAAATTTAACTTAGAAAATCCATTTAGTTTTTTATCTGGGTATAATGGCAACTGTTCACAGTGGCAATATACAGTATTTGAACAGTACAGGGACTTTAGCCATTTATAAACTCTGTAGATCTCCTCAAGGTAAAGTTTCTTTCAGAACCTAATAATACTGGTAGCAACACAGTTACTGAGTTTATAGATTAGCCATATGTCAAAATAAAATAAGTAGGGGCCAGCATTGTGGCATAATGGCTTAAACCACTGAATGCAATGCCAGCGTGGGAACACCAGTTTGAGTCCTGGCTGCTCTACTTCCTGTCTAGCTCTCTGCTGATAGGCCTGGGAAGCCAGTAGATGATGGTCCAAATATCCTGCCACCCTCATGGGAGACTCAGAGGGAGTTTCTGGTTCCTGGCTTCTGCCTGGCCCAGTCACAGCTGCTGTAGCTATTTAGGGAATGAACCAGCAGATAGAAGATCTGTCTATCCCCTCGCTTCGTTTTCTTTTGCTCTGCCTTTCAGATGAAAAAAAAAAAAAGGCAAATTATAGCCTGGTTTTAAGGGGAAATTTGCATGTATTATATATACATGCTTACATACATACTTTTTTTTAAAAAAAAGATTCATGTTATTTACTTGAATGGGAGAGTGACAGAAAGAGAAGGAGAGACAAAGAGAGAAAGAGATCTTCCATCTACTGGTTCACTTCCCAAAAGGCCACAACAGCCAGATCTGGGCTGGGACAAAACCAGGACCCTTGAACTCCAAGGTCTCCAACATGGGTGGCAGGGCCCAAAGTACCTGGGCCATCTTGTGCTGCTTTCCCAGGTGTATTAGTAGGGTGCTAGGTGGGAAGTGGAGCCGCCAGGACTTGAATCAGTGCTTATTTGTTGGTGTTGCAGGTGGCAGCTTAACCCTCTGTGCCACATTGCCAGCCCCTGGAAAACATGTTAAGCAAAAAGGATCCAGTTCTAATTAGCATCACTGGGAATAGGCAGGGGAAGACAATAAAAGGAAAAAAGTTTCACATTTTAAGTGGGTCACATCAGCTGCCATGTAAAAAAAAGAAAGAAAATCAGAAAATCACCTAATGTTAATAACTAACTCTATGCCAGGCACTGGGCCAGAAAATGTTTAATCCTTTGGAGGTAAGCATTGTGATTATCCCAGTTTAATTAACACAGAAACAATTCTTTGTTTAAGACATCAATAGTCAAGGGATGAAGCTAGAGTAAAACCTGGATAGTCTGACTGTATCAGTCCACTTTTCCTCTTTGCTGCTTGTACTTAAGCTAGAACACAATTCAGGATTTGGAAACAATAACTAAAGCATAAAGAAACAGGGAACTCACTGAGATATCTTGATGAGTAAACAAAGCTTAATTTAAAAGTGAACCGAGGCCAACGCTGCGGCTCAATAGGCTAATCCTCCGCCTTACGGCGCTGGCACCCCAGGTTCTAGTCCCGGTCAGGGCACCAGATTCTGTCCCGATTGCCCCTCTTCCAGGCCAGCTCTCTGCTGTGGCCAGGGAATGCAGTGGAGGATGGCCCAAGTGCTTGGGCCCTGCACCCCATGGGAGACCAGGAGAAGCACCTGGCTCCTGCCATCGGATCAGCACGGTGCGCTGGCCGCAGCACGCTGGCCGCAGCGCGCCGGCCGCGGCGGCCATTGGAGGGTGAACCAACAGCAAAGGAAGACCTTTCTCTCTGTCTCTCTCTCTCTCACTGTCCACTCTGCCTGTCAAAAAAAAAAAAAAAAAAGTGAACTGAGTAAATATCATAATTCTTTCTCTAAGTCCTTCTTAAAGAATAATAGCTATTAACCATTTTTTGGGCACTTTTTATTTAATTTATTTGAAAGTCAGAGTCATAGAGAGGGAAAGAAACAGAGGGAGATCTTCGATTAGCTGATTCACTCCCTAAATGGCCACAGTGGCCAATGCTGGGCAAGGTTTGAGCCAGGAGCTTTGTCCAGGTCTCTCACATGGGTGCAAGGGCTCAACCACTTGGGCCATCTTCTACTGCTTTCTCAGGCACAATAGCAGGGAGCTGGATTGGAAGTGGAACAGCTGGGATGTGAACCGGCACCCAAATGTGATGCCGGCACTGCAGATGGCAGCTTAACCTGTTATGCCATAGCACCAGTACCAGCAACCCCTTTTTATAGGTAAGTCCAAAGAATATTCAGGCCAAATATTTGAGCTCCTGCTAGCCACATGGGAGACCCAGAAGAAGCTCCTGGCTCCTGGCTTCAGACTGGCCCCGCCCTGTGAACTAGCAGATGGAAGATCTCTGCCTCTCCCTCTCTGTAACTCTGCCTTTCAGGGTCTGGCATTGTGGCATAGTGTGTAAATCTGCTGGCAGCATTCCATATGGGCACCAGTTCGAATCCCAGTAGCTCCACTTCCGATCCAGGCCCCTGCTACTCATGTTGGAGACTCAGAAGAAGCACCTGGCTGCTGGTGGCCACCTTGGGGGTGAACCAGCAGGTGGAAGATCTCTCTCTCTTTCTCTCTTTCTTGTTCTCTCTCTGTAACTCTTTCAAATACATATAATAAATCTTAAAAAAAAAAAAAAACTCTGCCTTTCAAATAAATAAGTACATTTTTAAAGAATATTCAAGGTCAAATTTTTAAAGTCAGAGCTAATATATAAAGTCTTCAATTTTTTGCATTAAAAATCTTGCCAATTGTTCTTTGGAAAAAAATAAGTACTATTAGGTGGTATATTTCCTGTTTTAAAAAAATAAACAACACATTGTGGAAATGCTTTAAATCAAACTTTTCTATTTGCCTGTAAACTGTGGTTATCACCTTACCCAGCTTCCCTTCTCTAAAGAATAAACAGTTTAAAAAAATTCTGAGTTTTAGTCAGTTGCAGAATGTGTCAATGATTAGATAATAAGTTAGTCTTAAACAGTTGTAAACTATGCCAACTTGATTTCTTTCAGTGCCTTGTTCCAAAATGCAGGAATCATATCATCCCTGTTAATATTTTCCCTCAATGCCAATCTGTCAAAAGATTCTGTGGCTTCTACTTTTGCAGTGTGTCCAGAGTCCAGCTACATCTCACCTCTTACACCACTAACCACTGTGGTCCAAACTATATTTTTTTTAAAGATTTATTTATTTTTATTTGAAAGGTTGAGTTACAGAGAGTCAGGGGCGCAGAAAAAGAGAGAGAGAGAGAGAGAGAGAGAGAGAGAGAGGTCTTCCATCTGCTGGTCCACTCCCCAATTAGGCACAACGGCCAGAGCTGGGCCGATCCGAAGCCAGGAGCTTCTTCAGAGCCTCCCACGCGGGTGCAGGGGCCCAAGGATTTGGGCCATCTTCTGCTTTCCCAGGCTGCAGCAGAGAGCTGGATTGGAAGTGGGGCAGCCAAGATACAAACTGGCGCTCATATGGGATGCTGGCACTGCAGGCGGTGGCTTAACGTCCTATGCCACAGTGCCGACCCCAGTCCAAGCTACATTACTCTCTCCTGGATTATTGCAGTAATTTTCTTAAAAGATTTATTTATTTATTTGAAAGAATTACAGGCCGGCGCCGCGGCTCACTAGGCTAATCCTCCGCCTTGCGGCGCTGGCACACCGGGTTCTAGACCCGGTCGGGGCGCCGGATTCTGTCCCGGTTGCCCCTCTTCCAGGCCAGCTCTCTGCTGTGGCCAGGGAGTGCAGTGGAGGATGGCCCAAGTGCTTGGGCCCTGCACCCCATGGGAGACCAGGATAAGTACCTGGCTCCTGCCATCGGATCAGCGCGGTGCACCGGCCGCAGCGCGCCAGCTGCGGCGGCCATTGGAGGGTGAACCAACGGCAAAAAGGAAGACCTTTCTCTCTGTCTCTCTCTCTCACTGTCCACTCTGCCTGTCAAAAAAAAAAAAAAAAGAATTACAGAGAGAGAGATCTTCCATCTGCGGTTCACTCCCCAGATTGTTGCAATAACCAGGACTGGGTCAGGCCAGGTACAGGAGCTTCTTCTAGGTCTCCCATATGGTTGGCAAGGGCCCAAACACTTGGGCCATCTTCCACTGCTTTTTCCAGGCCATTAGCAGGGAACTTGATTGGAAGTGGAGCAGCTGAGACCTGAACTAGTGCCCAGATGGGATGCCGACATCACAACCAGTGGCTTTACCTGCTGTACCACAATGCCAAACACTATTATAGTAACTTCCTAACTGCTCTTTGTTTCTACGGTCATCTTCCCATAATCTATGAAACAGCAGCCACAAGAAACCTTTTAAAGCGTGAATCAAGTCATGTTACTCTTAAACTCAGGTTAGCATCTAAGTAATGGCCATTATAGCGTAATTGGAATCTATAGTATCTGAATAGTTATGTCCTCTTTTTCTTGTCTGCCAACTTGTGTTCACATAAGATTGTTTTCTCATGTGTTTATTTTGTTGCAGTCTTAAATAAGGCTGTATCTGGGTAAATCCTTTGCTGACTGGATTCAGGATGGACCTTAAGAATAAGTTTTATAGTCTCTCATGCCTGATATTCCTAGCTTATTATCAGTCTTAGACTAACTCTTAGGCCAAGATAATGATGTAATTTTGAACCCCAAACTGGGTGCATCTGTAACTCATTTCTTTAGATTTATGAATATCAGTCTTGCTGTCTTCTTTTCTCTGGTGTGAATGGTTTTTGTTTTTTAATTCATGCAGGAGGATTTACTTCTGATGTATCTCATTCCATCAACATTTCCCATCTGGGCTAGAACCGTGCTAAATTATGTATTAGTGCTATCTGCTGTATTAGAATCAGAAGTTCCTACATGCCGTGACTGCATAATTCGATACAACATTCTTAACTAATCTTAGAGCTAGCTCAAGCTCAGCTATATTCATTATTTAGGATTAAGTGAAAAATTTAAGCCAGAAGTTAAGATAAATAAATTGGTGCTTTGTTTTGAATGTTGACCAATAATTATTATTGATCTAATCCTTTTGTTGTTGTTGTTGTTAGGTTTTGTTCCAGCTCTGGGTGGCTCAGAGTTCAGAGTTCTTCAGACGGTTAGCCCTGTTACTTTCTACAGCCAACTCACCTCTGGGGCCTTTACTTGCTCCAGCACTTTTGCCTCATCATATTTTATCTGATGTGACTCAAGGTCTACCTCATGCTCATTCTGCCTGTTTGGAAGAGCTCAAGCGCAGCTATGAGTTCTATCGGTACTTTGAAACTCAGCACCAGTCAGTTCCCCAGCGCTTATCCAGAACTCAACAAAAGTCAAGAGAACTGAATAATGTCCACACAGCAGTGCGCAGCTTGCAGCTCCATCTGAAAGCATTACTGAATGAGTAAGTTGAGAAGCCATGTAAGTAAATGTCCTCATGATTAGCAAGCATCATTCTTGTGCCATTGTGGTTGCTGGCTTGTGTACTAGCTAGAAAAGCAGAAGCAAATTGAGACATGCAACATCAACAGTGGCTCATAGCTACAGAAGTAGCAGAGAAACAATGATCTGTAGGTACTATATTTGGAGGGGTCATGTGGTTTTTACTTTTCCTCATTCAACATAAAACCTAGAAAGAGAGGACAAAAGCAGCTGTTCATTATCTTTGAGAGCTGAAACAGAGAGAGTTGTGAAGAATGAGCTGCTTTTAACTGTTAAGGGAGGGCTCTTCACCTGGAACCTGAGAAGCACCTGGCAGCACTGGCACAGTACAAGAGACATTGTTCTGTATAGTTACAGAGTAATGTATTGGTGTTTTTCTAAATAAATTATAGCAAATTTAGAAATTTTCCTGTAGCACAAGTCAAGCTTCTGGGCTCCAGTTGAATAGTAAAATATAAAATCCACATTTATATTCATTGACATTTTACTTTACATGTTATTGTTGGTACTCTAATTCCCAAATTTTAATGTCCCATTTAGGTACACCTTTATCAATTGAAAATATTACTTTTGTATATTTCTACATGAAATTTAAAAGTTGAAAAATTGAATAAAGGTATATAATACCTGAATGTAATCATTTCCAGTGAATATTTTCTCTGACAGGTAAATATTTATAATGTAGAGCTAGATCATATTGTGTTGGTAATCAGGACTTCCCTAAGAAATTAATGAGCTCATAGGATTATAGTTGATGTACTTGATCCTGAATACCAGGCAAGAAGCAGAGGGAAGGCAGCAATTAGTTTTATAAAATAAGAAAATGAGTTAAAAGAATTTACCATATCTGTAAAATGAAAAAAGCTAGTTTAACTGGAATGAGGGCGGATAACATGTCCAAGGGTCAGAACAAAAGAACAGAAAGACAGTTTGAAAAGATGTTTCTGGGGCAAGCATCCCATATGGGCAACTGGTTCGAGTCATAGCTGCTCCACCTCCGATCCAGTTCCCTGCAAATATACCTGGGAAAACAGTGAAAGATGGCCCAAGGACGTACCCTGTACCCACATGGGAGACCCAGAAGAAGCTCCTGGCTTCACATGGCACAGTTCCAGCCATTGCAGCCAGCTGGGGAATGAACCAACGGGTAGAAGATCTCTTTCTCTCTCTTCTCTCTCTCTCTCTCTCTCTCTAACTCTTTCAAATAAATAAATAAATCTTTATTTAAAAAAAGAAAAAGGAAATGTTCCTACCCATCAGTTGAAAACCTGAAATAGGTTAGGACAGAGGCAAGTGTTTGGTCTAATATTTAAGCCTCCAGTTGGGATGTCTGCATCCCATATCAGAGTACCCAGGTTCAAGTCCCAGCTCCACTCTTGCTTCCAGTGTCCTGCTGATGCAGACCCTGGGAGGCAGCAGGTGATGGCTTAAGTAGTTGGATCCATGCCACCCACATGAGAGACCTGAATCAAGACTCTCACTTTAGCCTAGCCTCACCGAGTCCTAGCTTTTGCAAGTATTTAGAGAGCAGAGCAATGGATGGAAGCTCTCTCTGTTGCTCCGTCCCTCTGCCTCTCAGATAAAATTTTGAACACCTTTGGGCATAGAGAAAATGAAGAAATTTTGAGGTGATGATATTCAGGTGGTTTATATCTGCCATTCTAAGAAATCATGTGAGAGGCTGGCACTGTGGCATGGTACGTGAAGCCATTGCCTGCAGTGCTGGCATCCCATATGAGTGCCAGTTCTAGTCCCAGCTACTCCACTTCCAATCCAGCTCTCTGCTATGGCCTGGGAAAGCAGTAGATGATGACCCAAGTCCTTGAGCCCTTGTACCTGCCTGGGGCACCTGGAGGAAGCTTCTGTCTCCTGGCTTTGGATCAGCTCAGCTCTGGCCATGACAGCCATTTGGGAGTGAGCCAGCAGGTAGAAGACCTTTCTCTGTCTCTCCCTCTCTCTCTGTAACTCCGCCTTTCAAATAAAATAAAATGAATGGTAAAGGAAGGAAGGAAGGGAGGAAGGGAGGAAGGGAAGAAGGAAAGAGGGAAGGGAGGAAGGAAAGAGGGAAGGAAGGAAGGAAGGAAAGAGGGAAGGAAGGAAGGAAGGAAGGAAGGAAGGAAGGAAGGAAGGAAGGAAGGAAGGAAGGAAGGAAGGAAGGAAGGAAGGAAGGAAGGAAGGAAAGAAAAAGTCATGTGAGTGCTGCCCTGACTCTGAGCCCTGTCCCCTACAGGAAACATGGAAGATAAGGTCCTATCCACTTAAGTGGGTGACAGAGGCTAGATCGTCATAAGACTCAGTGAAAATGTATCAGGCAAAGCGAGGGTCTCCAGAGAATTTTTTTTTTCTTTTTTCTTTTTGGTAATAGAAATACAAATGTCTCTGAAAAGTTCGTGAGAATGCGTATTATGAAATAACTGTATGTGGATTTGAAATATTTTTTGCACCCAAATAAACTAATCTTGCAGTTTCACTTTTCTATGAACATTTGAAGCCCCCATGTATATAGGGCATATTGGGATACATTAGTGTAAGGGAAGATGACTTAAGGAAGGAAAAGTGCTGCAGCAGGTGGACATGACATGGAAAAGAGGACCCGCCACCTGTGACACCAGCATCCCATATCGGTGTGCAGATTGAGTCCTGGCTGCTGCACTTCCGATCCAGCTTCCTGCTAACACATCTAGGAAAGCAGCAGAAGATGGCCCAAGTATTTGAGCCCCTTCCACCTATGTGAGAGACCCAGATGAAGTTCCAGGCACCTGGTTGTGGCCGGAGCTGGGCCCGGCCATTGTAGTCATTTGGGAAGTGAACCAGTGGATTGAAGGTCTTTTTCTCTCTCTCTTTCTCTCTCCTCTTTCTGTCACTCTTTCAAATAATAAAATAAATCTTAAGAAAAAAAAAGAAGAAAAGATAAATAAAAAGAAAGATAAAGAAGAAAAGATAAGTATATTATTTTTTAAAAGCTGATAAAATAAACATATCAAAGCTTATCATTTAACCATTCTTTTTAAAGATTTCTTTATTTATGTATTTGAAAGGCAGAGTTACAGAGAGAGGAGGAGAGGCAGAGCAGGAGAGATCTTCCATCTGCTGGTACTTAAGTGTACAAATTCAGTGGCGTTAAGCACATACACATGTGTACGTTGCTGTGCAGCAGCCACCACCCATCTCCAGAACTTCATCTCATCAAGTTTATAAGCCTTGTTAATTATAAATTTTCTATTTTATGTTTCTATTTTTCTTTATTACTCAGGGTAATAATTCTTGAAGATGAACTTGAGAAGCTTGTTTGTACTAAGGAAACACAAGAATTAGTGTCAGAAGCTTATCAAGTCCTAGAACAGAAATTAAAGTTGATTGAGCCCCATGTTCAAGCAAGCAACAATTGTTGGGAAGAGGCCATTTCTCAGGTGGACAAATTGCTACGAAGAAACACAGATAAAAAAGGTACCTGTCAGACATTTTTTTTGGCATATGCTTATCAGACATGCCTATTCCACTCTGATAGGATTTTATTAGGTGAGTTTCTTGTTCATGTGATAATTTACTGAAAGAAAATGAAGTTATATTTACTAATTGACAGTACCAAATCTTGGCTCTTATTTTGTAAATAAAAAATGAATATGAATTGGAAGGTTCAATGAATTATAACTCTTATAGAAAACTGAAGTGAAGGAATAAATATTTTATTAGTATGTTTCTGTTATCAGAAGTTCCCAAAACTCTTTTAGAGGTAGGGTGATAAAATAGTGGGTCCAGAGCAAGATACTGCATTTTCTATTAAGATAAGGTACTTACATCAGTGATTCAGAAATAATATATAAATGAGGGCAACATTGTGGTATAGTGGGTTAAGCCACCATCTGCAGCACTGGCAACCCATATGGATACTGGTTCAAGTCCCAGCTGTTCCACTTCCTATCCAGCCCCCTGCTTGTTTGCCTGGGAAAGCAGTGGAAGATGGCACAAGTGCTTGGGCCCCTGCCACCCACATGGGATCCAGATGAAGCTCCTATCTCCTGGATCCATCTTGGTCCAGCCCTGGCTATTTAGGGAATGAACCAGCAGATGAAAAATCTCTCTGCCTCTCCCTCTCTCTTTGTAACTCTGCCTTTCAAATAAATAAAATATATCTTAAAAAAGAATATACAATTGATATTATATTGCATGTAATACTACATATTCATTATATTTTTAAGGATTTACTTATTTATTTGAAATGCAGAGATACAGAGAGAGAGAGAGGTCTTCCATTCATTGATTCACTCCCCAAATAACTACAATGGCTGGGACTAGGCCAGGCCGAAGCCAGGAGCCAGGAGCTTCTGGGTCTCCCTTGTGAGTGGCAGGGGCTCAAGTACTTGGGCCATCTTCTGCTGCTTTCCCAGGCCATTAGCAGGAAGCTGGATCGGAAATAGAGCAGCTGAGACTTGAACCAACACCTATAAAGGATGCTGACACTGCAGGCGGAGCCTAAACCTTCTATGCCACAGCACCTTACCTGCATGTTCATTGTTACATGTGGAAATGTATTAAATGTCATTATTTAATGTTACAATATCAGACTTTGTGCTGCTGTGTAAAAAGCATTCTTGAGATTTTACACCCAGTTGCTTTTATTTGACTCAAATCTTGTACTTGTTTATGTTTAGCATGTTAGTTTTTAAGTTGTGTTATAAATTTATGCACTTATGTGCTTGTTATGCACTTGGATCATCATTATGAGGTTAGTCAAACATGAACAGAATTTGTATTGCTCCCAAAAGTACTTAATGATTTATTGTACTGTTTGTTTTGTTTATAGCTAGTTTTGTAATACTTTGTTTATTGTCTTAAACAAGCTCACTAAATCTAGATAAAGTATTAACTTTAAAAAAATAAGTGTGCTAATTACTGATACATTTACACATGAGTTTCCTTTATATCTCAGATGAAAGTGGTGAATAATTTTTTCTCCAAAGAATAAATCTGCCAAAGGAATTCAATATATGCAAATATGCATACATAGTAAACCTTTCAATATGAAATCTAGAGTTTAAATAGATTTTCTATAAATAGAAACATTCAGAAGACCTTTGAATATTAGAAGATGACTTCTATTTGACCCACCTTTAACACACTCTGAGATGTTGACTCCTATCACTTAACTGTTAACCATCACTGTGAGAAATGTCTCCAAATCATGGTATAGGCAATTAAAATAAGCCATTTCTTAGTTATGCTCTGTACATGAAGCTTATGTTCAAAGAAAATAATGATGTGAATTAAGAAAACTAGTTCACAGTGGCCATGACTATACAACTTTAAATAAAATATTTGTTTGGGGGTTGGGAGTTTGCCTGTGTTCAAGTCCTGGGTCTGCTTCTGATCCAGCTTCCTTCTAATGTACTCCCTGGGAGGCAGCAGGGGATGGCTCAAGTACTTCAGTCCCTAACATCCATATAGGAGACGCAGATTGAATTCTGGTCACCTGGCTTCTAGTTCCATTCTCGCATATATTGGTAGTTTATCCTTGTCTTTGCTGAATAATAATTCATTGTATAGATGGATATAACAGTTTATTCATCAGCTGAAGAACACATGGGCTACTTACAGTTTTTATTAATTATTTGTGTACGACTTTTGTATGAACAATACCTAGAAACAATACTACTAGCTTATTTGATTTATGTATGAATAGTAGGCAACACTTTGATGAGGAAGCCATATTTATATAATCTCTAAGTATTTCTTCACAAAATATTTACCATGAAAGATGTTAAGGAAAGGTTAAAGGAGAATAAACAGCACAAAAACTAAATACCATACCAGTCAGGATCTGCACATACAAAAGTTATTATCAGGATAATTACTGATATTTGAACATGTTCTGTGTATTAGTTGGCAATTTTGTATCAATGCTAATTTTGTGATTTTAATGGTATATTGTTAGTATGTAGGAAATTCTATTTTTTTCAAAACAGAAGTATTGGGGGCTGGCACTGTGGAGTAGTAGGTTAAGCTTCCACCTGCGATGCTGGCATCCCATATGGGCACAGGTTCAAGTCCTGGCTGCTCCGCTTCTGATACAGCTCCCTTTGTGTTAATGGCCTGGGAAAGCAAAGGAAGATGGTCCAGTGCTTGGGCTCCTGCACCCACATGGGAGAACTGGAAGAAGCTCCTGGTTCCTGGCTTTGGATCAGCCCAGCTTCAACTGTTACGACCATTTGTGGAATGAACCAGCAGATGAAAGACCTCTCCTTCTCTCTATCTGTAACTCTGCCTCTCAAATAAATAAATAAATCTTAGAAAACAAAAATGTTTAGGAATACTGGAGGCTGTTGCCAGCAGCTTTAAAATAGTTCAGAGTAACCCTGTCACCAAAAGAGTTATATACACATGCAGACACATATAAAGAAGGCAAATATGGTAGAATGTTAACAAGTGGAAATATGGATGAAGGGTCTTTTAAATTATGTTTGCAGTTTTTCCATAAGATTGAAATGACTGCTAAATAAATCATTAAATCTTATCTTTATTTACTTATTTTAAAGGCAGAGTTACAGAAAGACAGAGAGAAGTAGGGGTAGAGAGAAATCTTCCATCTGCTGGTTCACCCCCCAAATGTCTACAACAGTCAGAGCTGGGCCAGGCTAAAGCCAGAAGCCTGGAACTCTATCTGGGTCTCTCATGTGGGTGCAGGGGCCCTAGTACCTAGGCTATCTTCTTTTGCTTTCCCAGGCACATTAGCAGGAAGCTGAATCAGAAGTGGAGCAGCCAGGACTTGAACTGACACTCATATAGGATGCCAGCATCACAGGCAGTGGCTTAACTCGCTGCTCCACAACTCCGGCCCCTAAATCATATCTGGAAAAAAAAAAAAAAAAACAGGAAAGTAGCATGAAACACAATAAATGAATCTCTAATGCCTTGTGCTCAGGAAAAGGAACCATACTCAAACCACTGCACACTATTATTCATTTATATAAAATTATAATTACAAAGAAATTATTTTCTTTGTGATTTAATGCTATAACTAGTACTCAAACAGTATTTTTCACTTTGTGTTTCTATGTGGGTGCAAACTGTTGAAATCTTTACTTAATATATGCTAAACTGATCTTCTGTATAAAAAGAGAATTGAAAATGAATCTTGATGTGAATGGAAGGTGAGAGGGAGAGGGAAAGGGGAGGGTTGCGGGTGGGAGAGAAGTTATGGGAGGGGGAAGCCATTGTAATACATAAGCTGTACTTTGGAAATTTATATTCATTAAATAAAAGTTAAAAAAAAAAAGAAAGAGAAAACAGGTCAGTGGATGCTAAGAAATGTAGCTAGGGAAGAATGAGTTTTAAAAGACCCTCTCAGCTTAAAGATGGAGCTCCAAAATATATGTGTGTATATATAAATATATATCTCTTATCTATTGTATATACACCTATATCTCTTTATGCCTGTCTGTCCATGTGTATTATAAACCTTGAGTTCATACTAGAACCTCTAATTCAGTTCCAGCACTACAACTTATTCTGTCCTTCCCCATTTCTGTATTTATACCTCCTTTCTTTGATTGTGAGAAACGTGGTCCCTGTTATCTTCAGAATATTTACTGATTTAATCATTACCCTTGTATGTAACTAACCATGTGACACTATTGGTGTCTCCTGAGCCAGATTAGTGCTATCTCAAACCTGTGGGGAGTTCTTCCCATCCTGGGCCCAGCTTGCTTTGTCCCACAAGCCCGTGTAAGCCGAGAGTATCCCTTCAGTCATAAGTCTCAGCACCTTACCACCCATGGCTGGCTAGGAGATCCCTCTTTGTCCATCCCCACTCCTGGCATCCAGACAACTCATTCAAGCTGCTGCTTGCCAATATTAGTACCTCACAAATGTCATTTTTTTTAAACACCTAGTTTGCTATTACTGTGTTTAGCTCAGGAAATTGTTGAAAGCAGGTTATTACTTGGACATTACTCAAGAATTGCCATAGAAAAGAATCCCCAGGCCATAATTTCCCATTATTATAAATATCACATTATTGAGGCAAGTGTTGTGGCATAACTGGTTAAGCTGCCACTTGAGATACCAGCATTCTATATCAAAGTGCTGGTTTGAGTTATAGCTGCTCTGTTTCCAATCTAGCTTCCTTCTAATATGACTGAGAAAGCAACAGGAGATGGCCCATGTCCTTGGCGCCTGCTACCCATGTGCGAGGCCCAGTTGGGTTCCTGGCTCCTGGCTTTGTCCTGACCCCCCCTATTGCTGTTTCCACCACCTGGGGAATGAATCAGTGGATGGAAGATGTTTATCTTTCCTTCAGTCTCTGTTGATCTACCTTTCAAATATATAAATCTTTTTTTAAAATGACATTTTAAGAGGCCAGCACCGTGGCTCACTTGATTAATCCTCCACCTGTGGCACCGGCATCCCATATGGGTACCGGGTTCTAATCCCGGTTGCTCCTCTTCCAGTCCATCTCTCTGCTGTGGCCCAGGAAGGCAGTGGAGGATGGCCCAAGGAGGATGGCACCCACATGGGAGACCAGGAGGAAGCACCTGGCTCCTGGCTTCGGATCGGTGCAGCGCACCGGCCATAGTGGCCATTTGAGGGGTGAATCAACAGAAGGAAGACCTTTCTCTCTGTTTCTCTCTCTCTCTCTCACTGTCTAACTCTGCCTGTCACATCAAAAAAATTTTTTTAAATGACATTTTAAAACTTTTAACATTTATTACATCTAGGGCCTTCTTACTCAGAATGTTAGTCTACAAACTAACATATAAGCATCACTTGAGAGCTTGTTACAAATGCTTTGAAATCAATCTTCATTTTAACAAGACTTGGTAATTGGTATGCACATTAAGGTGTAAGAAACTTAAAGACAAAGATATACAATTTTTTTTAATATAGCAAGTATTTTCTGTTTTATAGACCATATAATGTCAGTCACAACTACTCTCCTCTGCAGTTGTAGTATGAAAGCATCATAAACTATACCTAAAAGAGTGGTCGGGGCCGGCACTGTGGCATATTGAATGAGGCCGCCACCTGCAGTGCCGGCATCCCGTATGGGCACCGGTTTGAGTCCCGGCTGCTCCACTTCTGGGCCGGCTCTCTGCTGTGACCTGGGAGAGCAGTGGATGAGGGCCCAGAACTTTGGGCCCCTGCACCCTCATGGGAGGCCTGGAGGAGGCTCCTGGCTCCTGGCTTCAGATTGGTGCATCTCTGACCGTTGTAGCAAGTTGGGGGGTGAGCCACTGGATGGAGGACCTCTCTCTCTGTCTCTCTGCCTCTCCTCTCTCTGTATAACTCTTTCAAATAAATAAATAAATCTTAGGGGGGAAAAAAACAAACAAACAAACAAACAAAAAAAACAGTGGTCATAGCAGCTAGGGCTGGGCCAGACAGAAGCCAGGAACCAAAAACTCCATCTGAGTCTCCCACATGGGTGGCAGGAAGCCCAGGTACTTGAGCCATCCACTGGTATTATGGAGTACCTGTTGTATTCCAGATATTGGGATGAGGCAAAGACAAGAAAAAACCAGGTCCTCCCCTCCAAGAATTTAACTTAAATTGTAAATTTATTGATGTGACTGTTGTTAGCTTTAATATCGTTAATCTTTTATTTAAAAAAATTGTTTACTTGTTTGAAAGGCAGACTTAGGGAAGGAGAAGGGGTGGCGGGGAGGGAGAATTCCATCTGCTGAGTCACTCTCCAGCCAGAGCTGGGCCAGTCCAAAGCCAGGAGCCAGGAGCTTTTTCCAGGTCTCCCATGGATGTGCAGGTGGCCAAGCACTTGGGCCATCTTCTGCTGCTTTTTCAGGCCATTATCAGGGAGCTGAATCAGAAGTGGAGCAGCCAAGACTACTGCCAGTGGCCGTGTACAGGCTCCGGCTTTACCCACTTTGCCACAGCGCTGGCCGGCCCCTCTTTAATCTTTTAGAAATAAAAAGTTATAATTAGAACAAGTTGAACTATGAAATTGACAGGGCATTGGTATCAAAGGTGATTTTTATTAGATGTTCACTCATTTCTGGTAGCCTATTTATTATTTTTATTCTCTCCACCTCTTTTTAAGGCAAGCCTGAAGTCGCATGTGAAAACCCACATTGTACTGTGGTACCTTTGACCCAGCCCACTCTGCACATTGCAGATAAAGATCCAATCCCTGAAGAACAGGTAAGGGTGAAAATTACTTTTTGTTCCTGAAGAAGAGTTTCACATTCTATCTAACTTTCTGTTAAGTGACATGGATAATTGTCAAATAACTTGTTGAATCACTGTCTCCAATGAGCTTCCGAATTACAGCATAATGTATTGGATTTATATCAAATAATTTATTTTTAGTGCCTTCAGTTTCAGTCACTTGAACCACTGTCAGGTTTCCTTGTTACGTATATCTAATTGTCCATTTCTTAAAAGCTTTTAAAAGTGATTAAACACAGTAAAAATCAGTGCATTGTCATAGGTACCTTCTGAGTTGCTGGAAATACTTCATCTTTTTTTTTTTTTTTTAAGATATAATTTATTTGAAAGGCAGAGTGACATTGAGAAGGAAGAGACACAGTAAGAGATCTTTCATCTGCTGGTTCACTCCCCAAATGGCCACAATGGCTGAAGCTGGACCAGGCCGAAACCAGGAGCCTGGAGCTCTGACCACATGGATGGCAGAGACCCAGGTGCTTGGGTCATCCTCACCTGCTTTCTCAGGCACAATAGCAGGGAGCTGGATTGGAAGCAACTTGAACTAATACTCCAGTATGGAATGCCAGCGTCGCAGGAAACAGCTTAATGCTCTGTACCATAATACCTGGCCTAAATGTTTCAGCTTGATCTCAGTGGTGGTCACCAGTATGTAAATCCTAGACATTTGTGCACTGTGTGTAGTGGGTATAGCTTCTTCCAGGTCTCCCACATGGGTACAGGAGCCAAAGCACTTGGGCCATCTTCCGCTGCCTTCCCAGGGCATTAGCAGGGAGCTGGATCATAAGTGGAACATCCAGGACTCAAACCTGTGTCTATATGGGATTGCGGGTGCTGCAGGCAGAGGCTTAACCTACTACACCACCCCTTAAATAAATAATCTTTTTTTAAGATTTATTTATTTTATTTGAAAGTCAGAGTTACACAGAGAGAGGAGAGGCGGGGGAGAGAGAGAGAGATGGATGGATGGATGGATCTTCCATCCGCTGGTTCACTTCCCATTTGGCCGCATCGGTCAGAGCTGTGCTAATCTGAAGCAAGGAGCCAGGAGCTTCTTCCAGGTCTCCCACCAGGTGCAGGGACCCAAGAACTTGGGCCATCTTCCACTGCTTTTCCAGGCCATAGCAAAGAGCTGGATCGGAAGTGGAACAGCTGGGACTCGAACTAGCATCCATATGGGATGCTGGCACTTCAGGCAGCCATTTTACCCACTAACGCCATAGCGCTGGCCCCAATAAATAATCTTTAAAAAAAATTATGCACTTAACTGCATGTATGTTGTACCTCATTTTAAAGAACAGATTTTTATTGATTGCCTTAGTTATTGACAAAGACTTCTTTTGCTCATCTTAAAGAAAGCTTCCTTTGCTTAAGACACATTATCAGCTGGCACAACGGCTCAATAGGCTAATCCTCCGCCTGTGGTGCCGGCACACCAGGTTCTAGTCCCGGTCAGGGCGCCAGATTCTGTCCCAGTTGCCCCTCTTTCAGGCCAGCTCTCTGCTGTGGCCAGGAAGTGCAGTGGAGGATGGCCCAAGTCCTTGGGCCCTGCACCTGCACGGAAGACCAGGAGAAGCACCTGGCTCCTGTCATCGGATCAGCACGATGCACCAGCCGCTGTGGCCATTGGAGGGTGAACCAACGGCAAAGGAAGACCTTTCTCTCTGTCTCTCTCTCTCACTGTCTATAACTCTGTCTCTCTCTCTCTCACTGTCTAACTCTGCCTGGCCAAAAAAAAAGAAAAAAATATATAAAAGATAACTTACAGAATATTGCAAAAGGCCAAATAAGCAATTTTTTGGTAAAGAGTTATTTATTTATTTGAGAGGCAGTTACAAAGAGAGGGAAAGAAAGAGAGAGGTCCTCCATCTGCTGGTTCATATTGGGAATTCCAGTTCAAGTTCTGGCTGCTGCACTTCCAATTCTGCTTCCTCCTAATGCATGTGGAAACAGCAGATGATGGCCCAAGTCCTTGGACCCCTGCCACACCATATAGGAGATCCAGATAGAGTTCCTGGCTTCTGGCTTCAGCCTGACCCATCCCCGGCTATCGTGGGCATTTGGAGAGTGAACCAGCAGATGGAAGATTCTCTCTCTCTCTCTCTCTCTCTCTCTCTCTCTCTCTCTCTGATGGTCTGCCTTTCAAATAAATAAATAAATCTTAACATTAAAAAAAAAAAAAAAAACTACCCTCAGAACTGCTGCCTCTGGAAACTTGATCTGCTACCTTCCTTGCCAGAATGAATACCTCAAAATGCCTGCTTCTGTTAACATTAAACTTCCCAATCAGATCTGATACAGGTGCATCTTATTGCAGCGTCCTGGGTCATTGCCTGACCTTGAACTGCAGGGAAGATTGAGTAATATGCAAGTATCCTACTCTCTGTGTTAGACACGGAGAACCATAAGATAAGGTATTTCCTAATTCTAGGAAGAGTATTCAAACTTCCTGGGAAGTTGGAAAGAAACTCAAATGTCGGTGCCTGCGCTGTGGCTCAGTGGGTTAAGGCCCTGGCCTGAGGCACCAGCATCCCATATGGGCACTGGGTTCTAGTCCCGGTTGCTCCTCTTCCAGTCCAGCTCTCTGCTGTGTCCTGGGAAGGCAGTGGAGGATGGCCCAGGTGCTTGGGCCCTGCACCTGCATGGGAGACCAGGAAGAAACACCTGGCTCCTGGCTTCGGATCAGCGTAGCTCCAGCCGTGGCAGCCATTTGGGGGGTGAACCAACAGAAGGAAGACCTTTCACAATGTCTCTCTCTCTCACTAAATCTATCTGTCTAATAAATAAATTAAAAAAAAAAAAAAAAAAAGACCCGGCTGTTCCACTTCCAATCCGGCTCTGCTGTGGCATGTGGCATGGGAAAGTGGTAAAGGATGACCCCAGTCCTTGGGCCCCTGCATCCATGTCGGGGACCCGGAGGAGGTTCCTGGCTCCTGGCTTCAGATCAGTGCAGCTCCAACTGTTGCGGCCAATTGGGGGCGAGCCATTGGGTGGAGGACCTCTCTCTATCTCTGCTTCTCCTCTCTCTGTGTAGCTCTGACTTTCAAATAAATAAATAAATCTTAAAAAAAAAAAAAAAAAAAAAAAAAAAAAGAAACTCAAATGTCTATCACAAGAAGATTAACATGTCTATCACCTCCCCAAACATCCAGCCCTTAAAATTTTGCCATATCAAGTAACTATAGTAATCTTACCTATTGGATGGTATAAGAGTGGGAAAATAACCATTGATGTTGTTGAGCTTTCTTATCCACAACTTTTTTGAGTATCAGATTTTTTTTTTCAAAGGTTTCAAATTATCTGTGTGTTTGCTTCCCTGCCCCTGAATGACCTGTGCCAACAGCAGGCCTTCATTTTATAATCTGTAAGATGGGTAGGTAGATGTAAATGACTGTTACTAGAACACTGCTTAAAGAGCCTTTTCTTTTATTCGTTTTCAGGAATTAGAAGCTTATGTAGATGATGTAGATATGGACAGTGATTTCAGAAAAGATGATTTTTATTACTTGTCTCAAGAAGACAAAGAGAGACAGAAGCGTGAGCAGGAAGAATCCAAGAGGGTGCTCCAAGAGTTAAAGTCTGTGCTGGGATTTAAAGCTTCGGAGGCGGAAAGGCAGAAATGGAAACAGCTTCTATTTAGTGATCATGGTAAGCACTGACTTCAATGGAGAAGGTTATTTCAGTATAGGAGCTGTTTTTTCTTGAACCATGAGTTTTATTTTAACAATAGAATTCCTATGGCTTTAATTTTAGGGATCCACCAGTAAGCACAGTTCTTTTTTTTTCTGGGCACAAAGTCAATTTGATCAATAAAAGAATAGATAGAACCCATTAGAAAAAGTTAGTCATGCTTTTTTCATCAGTTATTTAATTTTTTACTAAATTTGTTTTGAAATGAGCAGTGAGTTGAACAATTTGAAGTATTTTAAATAAAATGTCATTTTCAAATGTAGTGAATTTGGGAATTGAAACTTTGTTGGCCGTATATTAAGATACTAAAAATACCTCATTGAAGTACAAAATTAATAACTCTGTGTGCATTATTGAAAAAAGTGTATTAAGACCTAGGACATTTGGAGCCGGCGCCATGGTTCACTTGGTTAATCCTACGCCTGCAGTGCCAGCATCCCATATGGGCACTGGGTTCTAGTCCCAGTTGCTCCTCTTCCAGTCCAGCTCTCTGCTGTGGCCCGGGAGTGCAGTGGAGGATGGCCCAAGTGCTTGGGCGCCTGCACCTGCGTGGAAAACCAGGAAAAGCACCTGGCTCCTGGCTTCAGATCAGCGCAGCGCACCGGCCATGTTGGCCATTTGGCCATTTGGCGGGTGAACCAACGGAAGGAAGACCTTTCTCTCTGTCTGTCTCTCTCACTGTCTAACTCTGCCTGTCTAAAAAAAAAAAAAAAAAAAAAAAAAAAAAAAAAGATCTAGGACATTAACCACATCATCAGAGTTACTTGAATGGTTTGAGCACTTTAGTAGATGGAAGAGGGGATCTGCTTCTGTGTACACCATGTCCACACTCTGGCCAAGTTTGATGGCTGGTAGTGTGACATGTTAACTTTAAAACGCCGTGGGGTTTCTTGCCTTTCTTTTCTTCAGTCGCTCCTCATGAGCAGCAGGAGAGGAAATGAGGGAACGCTTAATAATTGACAATATTAAGCTAGCTAATTCCTGTGGATTTCTAAGAGGGCAGAATGGAACTTCCATTCTTGCTAGAAGTATATAGATTCCATTCTTGCTAAAAGTATATAGATTGCCTATACTTCTGAAAGCAATTCAGGGTCCTCTGGCCTCCCTTCCCCTCCCCTCCCCTCCCCTCCCTTCTCCTCTCCGCAGCCCTTCCTTTTTCCCCTATCCACATCTACCTTTCTTGGTTTTATCTTTTTATCTTTCTTCATTGTACCCCTTGGTCCCCTCACTAGATTATGCTCAACATTCTAACAGCCTCTTAGATGATTTCCATTTTCAGTACTTGTTTCTTCTAAACTGTCTTTTAAGCTCTTTTCCAGATTTTTCTCAAATAATACATTGATAATGGCTTTTTCTATCTTACATCCTATAGTCATTCCCCATTTCTTACCGAATTAAATCCAAACTCCTTTTCTGAGTTTCAGCTCTCCATTTTAAGAATTCAGTTGTATTCAATTATATTTCCCCCTGTTTCTACTGTAGATAATCTTCCCCAGTTTACATTTACCTAGTAGACTACAGTTCTACGAGCATGCCATATTTATCATGAGAAAAAAATCATGCTTATCCCATTACTCGGAAATCTGTCTGCCCTACCCGTTCCTCCTCCATGAAACCTTCTCTGACTGCTCCACCCTGCTGCTTCTCCTGCCACCGTAGACCTTTGTACCAGAGGGCACTGAGTGAAACAGAAAGGAGGTCTTGAGCAGCAAAGCATGGAGCAGAGAAGGGAAGTGATTAGAAGCAGCAGTAAAGACAGGAAGTTCCAGCAATCTGTTCATTTATTGATCGTACGTAAATCAGAAATTAATGGTATGCTGGTTTTGGTACTATTGTTTTTCCTATATTCAGTTAGTTTTATCTCTTTTACTAAATTACAGTCCCCAATAGGGACTTTATTATCCCTCATAGCTTTCATTCAGAAATTATTCAACAAGTAGTTATTGCATAACCTTTTTTATGCCAGGAACCATTTACTGCTATATCCCCTAGTGTATAGATCAAGAGAAACAAATGACTACCTCTTAGGGGCTTGCATTCTAACACTCTTGAAAATTGATCCTCCCATTATACAAATTATATCCCTCCATTTAATTAGCAATAAAATGACTATCAATCAACTTCTAATGCGAGATGTTGCATTTTTTAAAAACTAGCAGACTTATAAACTAAAAATGTTCATAATGACTGGAAACAGCATTGTACATAAGCTTATATCTTTTAATTGTGTAGCATTTTCTTCATATAGCTTTAAAATTCTCCTATTGACATTATGTGCAAAGGTATATGAGTGAGAGAAAATGTCTTTTTTTCAGGTATGTGCTTTTGTGCAGTTTGCATTTAAAAAGGCAATAATGCTGTATTGGTTTGTGGAAATAAGTTAAAAGCTGCTGATACCATAAAATGCTTTTCCCATGAATAATTTCAGTACATCTTCCAGAGCTGTTTTCATCTCTGCCTACAGGGGTAAAGTCCGAATGGAATTAGAGAGGGAAATTCTGCACTGGAACCTGCTGTGGCCATTTTTTTCTGTTGTTGCTGCTTCTATAGTGGAGTTACTGCAGCTTAGGGATATTTCTTGGAACTGGACATGTTTTACAAAAATATTTTTAAAATACACGCCAGATCTTCAAGAAGCACTTTTTTGTCTTCCGTCATGCTTCTTCCGTCATAATATATTGTATTGTACTAACCCCTCATGCTGGGAGGAGAGACTGCCTAGCAAGCAACCCACTGCCTACTAACATCAAGAGGGGCTAAATAAAACTTCATTTTCCATGCAAGGACAACTTCAGCCGTATGGATATATGTTATGTTTATGTGTTTAACACTTTGTACAGTAATTGATCTTGAATGCAGATTTTATTTCATTTGTACTTTTCTGTGGCACTATCAGTAGATAGAAGTTATGGCTTTATTTTACTTTCATTAAGGTCTTAGCAAGTAATTTAAAATTTTTCCCAAGCAGTTTTAACTTTTAAATATATACATGTTGAAGATATTATTATCTGGATTACTTTGGGCTTTTTATCTGACACATTCTTATTCTTGAACGCAGTGGTTCTCAAATGATAGTGTACATCAGAATCAAGTAGAGGGCTTGGGAAAATAACTGCCCTACACTCCCAGAGTTTCTAGATCAGTAGGCCTGGAAATGGGGTCCAAGAATTTACGTTTCTAACAAATTCCTAGTCATGACTAGTGTTGTTAGTTCAGGGACCACACTTTAAGAACCACTGCTTTAATATTTTGAATAAGATAATATGTGAGATGTCTCAAAACCTCATCAAATCCCCATTTTGTTTCACCTCATAGGCATTTTATCTCAGGTAAAGATTCCAGCATTTATAAAATTTCACTGATTTTTCTAGATAGCTTTATTTAGCTTTTATTTATTCATTTGTTTATTTATTGTTCTTTTTAAGATAAAAATATAAGAAGCTTAAGTTAAAGTTTAAGTCATTGATGAGTCCTTAGTTATTATTTTTCTTTTTTTTTTTTCTTTGAAGCTGTATTGAAATCCTTGTCTCCTGTAGACCCAGTGGAACCCATAAGTATTTCAGAATCATCAGTGAATTCAGATATGGGAAAAGTCAGTAACAATGATACTGAAGAGGAAAATAATAAACCCCCCATAACTGACAATGAAGTAAGTAGGACTGAGTATTTCTGTGAAAACCCTCTAGAGGGTAAAAATAAAGACACTTCTGCAAACGAACTCTTCCTCCAAGGAACCGAAGAAAGACTGTGTTACCAGAGTGAGACTGAAAATGAATCACAGCAGGCAGATGGAGGTGGCCTGGTCACTGCTCCTACGACTGCCAGGGACTCTTTACAGCCCTCTATTAAGCAGAGACTGGCACGGCTACAGCTGTCACCAGATTTTACCTTCACTGCTGGCCTCGCCGCAGAAGTGGCTGCTAGATCTTTCTCCTTTACCACCATGCAGGAACAGACTTTTGGCGATGACGAGGAAGAACAAATAATAGAAGGAAATGCTGATGAAGTAGAAGAAAAATAAGAACCAAGATTCTCATGAAGTGGTTTTAGATTGTTCCTTATACGAAAGTGTTTTAGCTTCAAGACTGGAAAGGGAAAATGAGTGTAAGTTTACTATCTATAAAGCTAAGATGTGAATTTACAGGAAGAACCCTGGTTCGAGGAACCAATTTGAAATTAGTAGTTACCTGTACATGGCAGATCTTTTAGGAAAATAAGAGAAAGGTAAGGGCTGTTTTGAATAAACTGCTATTTTATTTGTGGCACACTGATCGATCTTGGAAATTCTTTAAGTACTTTTAATAAGAAATGAATTTATCATTTCTTGCTAGAATTTGCTACCCATAAGGTGACTGGGATAATTTCATTGCAAGAAAATTGACATTTGGTAATACTCCTTTATACTGTATTCTTGCAGTTAACAACTGCAGCTATTATGTTAATAACAAGTTGTTTGTATTTTGTTTCTACCAGTCTTGAAGATACAGGTTCTGAATAAAAAAAATTCATACAATTGATGTGTGCTGGGGTTTGGAACTAAACTAAAAATTAGTTTCAAAGGTACTGGGGTTTTGACTTATGTTTCCTTGTTCATTTGTGTATTCAGGAGTTAATTTTAAGATGTCCTAATCATCCTCAAAAGAAAAAACATCGTACCATTTTAAAGATTACCCTTCCAATTTTTTCATTCACCACTTCTTTGTTCTTGTTGCAACTAAGAGATGATGTTGAAGTGCTCTACAGGCCTCCCACCCCTACCCCATCCCCAGCTGAGCATAAAGTTCTTTGTGTCAGTTTATTTACAGGTAATTTGGTGCCATTAATACAAGCAAGTCACAGTGCTGCTGTTTTCTAGTCCTGTACACCTTACTAAGACTCGGGAAACGCCTTTCAGCTAACTGGAAAGCATTCTTGTCTCCATAACTTCATTTAAAAAACTTCTTAAAGAGATTGGTTTCCAAATTGGCCAGTCTCGTCTGTTTTGTATTATGATTACATTTTCAAAGAGTGATATTTTCAGGGGTGTATTCTGTGAGACCTGTGGCTCCTGTGCACTGACATAGCTTATAGACAATATATGGAGGAGATGTGGGAGTAACTCAATTTGTCCTGCTGTCCTACAAAGGAAACTACCTGATGAATGATCTAGATTGTTTTCAGAGTTAAGAAACACATCCAAATTTCTGTAACTTATTATAAAAGTTTTTTAGTGAGTAAACTTATTTTCACTGAAGAGGATTTTTATTTTCAGTAACCTAAGGAAATTTATTTTTTAATCCTGAGGAAAAAAACTTGGTTCTGCTTTATATGAATAGAAAGGATTCTGTGTACTATAGATGATTTTTGCTTTCATCAAGTTTTTGTGACTTTATCCATAATTAAGGAGCAACACCTTACTATAGGCCTAGTTTTACTACTTATAAGAAGCTAAATCTCAAGAAAAAAAGTTTTGTTTTGTAAGTATTATATTCCTAAATAATAATACTTGAGTTTACATTTTTTTTTTAACAGATCCACGTTTGGATTTTTTTTTTTAAAGATTCATTTATTTTACTTGAAAGTCAGAGTTATACAGAGCGAGAAGGAAAGGCAGAAAGGTTGGGGGGCAGAGAGAGAGAGAGGTCTTTCATCTGCTGGTTCACTCCCCAATTGGCTGCAACAGCCGGTGCTGTGTCCATCCGAAGCCACGAGCCAGGAGCTTCTTCCAGGTCTCCCATGCGAGTGCAGGGGCCCAAGAGCTTAAGCCATCTTCTGCTTTCCCAGGCCATAGCAGAGAGCTGGATAGGAAGTGGAGCAGCCAGAACTCGAACCAGCACCCGTATAGGATGCCGGCACTGCAGGCAGCAGCTTTACCCACTAGACCACAGTGCCAGCCCTGTGTGTGTTTGTTTTAAGATTTATTTTATTCAAAAGGCAGAGTTACAAAGAGAGGGAGAGACAGATCTTCCATCCACTAATTCACTCCCCAAATGGCCACAATGGCCAGAGCTGGGCTGGTCCGAAGCCAGGAGCTTCAACCGGGTCTCCCATAAGGGTACAGGGACCCAAGGCCATCTGCTGCTTTCCCAGGAAAGGAAAATTTCAAACATTAGCAAGGAGCTGGATTGGAAGTGGAGCAGCTGGGACTTGAACCAATGCCCATAAGGGATGCAGGCAGCAGCTTTACCCTCTATGCCACAGTGCCAGCCCAAAGTTTACACCTTTATTTTAAATTATTTACTTAGTGTGCCAATTCAGTAGAAGAAGCAGTTACAGAAAAAATTGTTTTCTTTCCCTTAACCTGTAACCACACACAGGAAGAATTAGTTTGATCTTTTTAAGTTCATGTATTACACTTTGTTTTTATTGTACCAGTTTGGGAGAAGTTTCTTCATTCTATTGCATCAGTATTATTTAGTGCTCTCTGATCCTTTTTAATTTTGAAACACTAAATATTTTTAATCCAGAATTCTCAATCTTCCAGACTGATCTGTCCTATCCACTAGTTGTCACTTACTTCTATGAAAACTCTATAAAATGATTGTTTAAAGATCTTGAAACTTTATCTGAATGATCCTTTTTTCTGTAGCTTTCAAAATTTTATAGTATCTGTGAAAATCCTATGGCTAATTTTCTCTTCTGAGAAAAACTGCATCAGAATATAGCAGAGGTCTTATTTAAGAAGGTGTTCTTGTTTGTTTTTTTCTTAGAATATTTAACTTTCTGTTATGCTTTGGAATACTTTTTCTAATGGCCATTCTACATTCAGAAGCAACCCTTTAGGGAAAACATTTTAGGAACAAAATCTTCTAATTGTGCTTTTGCAATTTTACAGTATTATTTTTCACAATACAGTCTTTTAGGAGTAGCATCCTCACAGCTTTAATAGGAGTATTTCCATAGTTTGGCCAGGACAAACGTGCCACTTACTGGAAGAATGTGAGAAGTTATTTAGATCACTTTTGAAGGAGTTTTACCCTTGCCTAGAGGTGGGGAAGGCAGTAAATGACCTGGTGCTAGTTATCATCCCTTAAATCCTTTGTTTTCAGCCTTCACTAAAACTCTGTGTACTGCATACCTAGGGCCTGCCCAGACCTTGCTTTGATTTGCAATTCTCTGCTTAGTTTCAAGAGCTGTGTGTACTATCCAACTTTGCAAGTTACATCCCCATTCAGATGAATATATTTTATTAAGAACTGATGCACTGAGTCAAGTTTCAGTTCTTAATTTATTGGAGACAATTAAGTCAGGAGAAACACTTTTAAGGCAAATTACTAGTGAAATTTAGAAATACAGGTTTGAGGCTTTAATACAAAAAAAAGGCTATATCCTTCATTTATTTTTTTAAGTTTTATTTATTTATTGAGAGGCAAAGTTACAGACAGAGAGGGAGAGACAGAGGGGTCTTCCATCCACTGATTCACACTCCAAATGGCTGTGTTAGCTGGAGCTGGGCTGATCTGAAGCCAGGAGCGACAGGAGGTTCTTCCAAGTCTCCCACATGGATGCAGGGGCCCAAGCACCTTCACCATCTTCCACTGCTTTTCCCAGGCCACTAACTGGTGCCTATGTGGGATGCCAGTGCCAGAGTTACAGAGAGAGAGGGAGAGGCAAAGAGAGAGAAAGGAAGAGTGTGAGAAAGAGAGATCTTCCATCTGCAGACTCTCTCCCCAAATGGCTACAACAGGAACCAGGAGCTTCATCCATGTTTCCCACATGATGCAAGGGGCCCAAGCATTTGGGCCATCTTCTGCTTTCCCTGGCACATTAAATAGCAGGGAACTGAATGGGAAGTGGAGCAGCCAAGACTTGAACCAGCACCCATACGGAATGCTGGCACTAAAGGCAGGAGCTTTACTAGCTAAGCCACAGTGCCAGCCCCCAACCCATTATGTCCTTCATTTAAAAGCTTTGAGTGCAACTATCCTAGTAACATTTGAGAGAATATTTCCAGTAAAGCCCAAATTCTCTGAACTACTAATGTATATATGTGATTTCTTTTCAAAAATACTTAAAAAGGAGATTAAACTTCTGAGATGGAAAAGCAAGATCTGATTATAAATGTTAATAAAAGAGGTAAAAATTTTTAAAGCTCAGTTTTTCTTTAAAAAAAGGCAGTAATACACTGATTCACATAATAAAAGTTGGAAAGCTTTTAATGTCAAAGCATGAAAACCATCAACTTCAGTTTTGTTTTTGCAAACTGATTTGTCAGTAGAGTATTCATCAGAAGAGATGGTAGAAGTCATTTTCCTCTAGTGACTCTTGTCTCTTCCCTTCAGTAATGGAAAATATGAAATATTTTGATAAATCATTAGAAGTCATATGGGAAGTCAAGTTCAAACTGATTTAGTTTAATCATAGTACATTGATTCTATACCCAATCAAAGCAAGAAAAAAACTAAATACTCACAAGACTGTTGTTTTGCTCAGGTAAGGTAGATACCATGCTTCCAGTGGCAACCAAACAAAGCCTAACAATTGATTTATTTTCCCAATTCTGTTTGTAAGAACATATCTATAGTTTACACTTATAAAATGAAAATGCAAATACTTTAAAAGGGAAAATATAGAGAAAAATGCTAAGTACTACAATAAGAATTCATTTCTCTGTCACCATTTATGGGTAATTAACTTGTATAAGTTGATTTTTCAGCTATAAGGCAAATGCATTTAATTATTAAGTTTAACAGTTTAGTAACTAAATTTGCTTTCTACTCTACTTTTCCTTGAGTATATAAAATACAATTTAACATTTTGATCTTTAAGAACATCGTAGTTTTCAGGGATGGTAAACAGAAATCCACCCTCCAGGGCTACTGAGATGTATGTTACGTGCCCCTTTCCTACATGACTTCATATTGGTGTGCTTTTCCCGTTATGTCTGTTTTTCACAGTTTCTCTATCTTGCTTCATAATCAGCTGTCACTTTTGCCGCTGTCTTGTGTGCCTGCATCCTGCAGTAGGCCCCTAGTTTGCTGCTTCTAATCTGCTGAGGACTGAGAAGCCAGATTGCCAAGCTTGCTAGAATTGTGTCTAAAATAAGAGTAAGTAGATCTATGGAAGGATAAGGGGCTTTTGTGTTGGTAAAGTGCATGGACTTTGTGAGACCTGTTGGCTGCTTAGCATTCTTTTGTCTCTTAATCTTTACTAAGAACTTGCTAAAAATACTTGGTTGAATGTGTGACTGCCATATATTTTATTAATTCAGTTTTTGTATATTGTTGTTTCTAAGACTCCACATTAATGAACTCATTTATACAAGAAAATTTGACTTTCATCTTTGTATAAATCATTGTGTCTTTTAAGAAAATGTTAAGAGCCGTCGCTGCGGCTCAATAGGCTAATCCTCCAGCTAACACCGGGTCCTAGTACCGGTCGGGGCGCCGGATTCTGTCCCGGTTGCCCCTCTTCCAGGCCAGCTCTCTGCTGTGGCCAGGGAGTGCAGTGGAGGATGGCCCAAGTCCTTGGGCCCTGCACCCCATGGGAGATCAAGAGAAGCACCTGGCTCCTGCCGGATCAGCGCAGCGGCCATTGGAGGGTGAACCAACAGCAAAAAGGAAGACCTTTCTCTCTCTCTCTCTCTCTCTCTCTCTCTCACTGTCCACTCTGCCTGTCAAAAAAAAAAAAAAAAAAAAAAGAAAGAAAATGTTAAATATTTTCTTCTCATTTACTTAGTACAGTATACTGGTTTAAAATATACAGATTATAAATTTGGCTTTAACTTTGTTTACCAAGACTTATATTATAGAATCATTCATATTCAACACATATTCTAAACTATCCTCTCTGAGAGGAAACATGGCTAATTTAGTAAGAACTGGCTAACTCGCATATTTGGGAATCAAGTCATTCTGGATATCTCAGTTTTCTATAAAGCCTGAACTTCTTCTGGACTTCTTTCACCATTTAATTTTTTTGGAATTTCTGAAGGAAATCTTTAAAATTTGTAAACATATGAAATACATTTGATATCCAAATAATCATTACTGACAGTAGTTATCATATGCTGATAGAATAATAAGACACTAGGAACTATTCATGTACCAAATGACTTCATTCTGCTCTACTTGTGTTAGTTTTCATGTCCTTATTATTTTTTTTTTTAGAATTTATATATTTATTTGATAGGCAGAGTTACAGACAGAGAGAGGGAAAGACAGAGAGAAAGGTCTGATGTCCGCTGGTTCACTCCCCAAATGGCCTCAATGGCCTGGGTTGGGCTGCTGAGGCCAGGAGCCAGGAGCTTCCTATAGGTCTCCCACGTGGGTACAGGGGCCCAAACACTTGGGGCATCTTTCGCTGCTTTCCCAGGCCATAGCAGAGAGCTGGATCTGAAGAGGAGCAGCTGGGACACAAATCGGTGCTCTTATGGGATACCAGCGCCACAGGCGGAGGCTTAGCCTGCTATATGCCACAGTGCTGGCACTATGGCCTGATTTTTTAATAGTCTTTCTGATTCCTCCATTTGTATTACTGCTTGCTTAAGTGTGCCTTTAGCAGAAGCCTTTCTCCGTCTTCATAATGTTCCTTCTGATCTCCTTTGGTTTTAGAGACCAGATGACTAAGCCAGTAAGAATTTTGTATAAAGGTACACAGACTCAGAATGAGGACCTGAAGCAGATTACAATGAAGTCTATGGATATGTGGCATCTGTTACTCACTACTTGTGTCGTTACTGTCTTTTTTTAAATAAATAAATATTTATTTATTTATTTTAAAGACAGTGACTAAGACAGAGAGAGGGAGAGACAGAGAGATCTTCCATCCTCTAGTTCACTCCCCAAGTGGCCACCATGGACAGGGCTGGGCCAGGCCTCCAGCCAAAGCCAAGATCCTGGAACTCCATCTGGGTCTCCCATGTGGGTACAGGGGCTCAAGTACTTGGGCCAGCCCCTGTTGTTTTCCCAGGTGCATTAGCAGGAAGGTGGATCAGAAGCAGAGCAGTTGGGACTCAAACTGGCACTCTGATTTGGGATGCTGACATTAAGTGATGGCCTGATCCGATACATCACACTGCAGGCCTCCTACTGTCTTTCAAATAAGTGAAGTTACTGGATTAGAGACCTGCTTTCAAGTTAGAAGAGGTGCTCTTGTACAGAAGAAGCCATTTTGTTTCCATATTTTACTTTCTCTAAACTAAGCTTTATTCTGCAATTCTTTGGCTGTGATTGAAACCAGCCTGCTCATACAGCGTTTTCTATTTGGATGGATACCACATTGTGTTAAGCATGTATTAGTCCTTTTGTTTGTTTGTTTGTTTTAGAGAAATAGATCTGCATTTCCAAGATACATAGTAAACTCTGAAAAATGAGGAAATACTCATTCTTAGATCACAGAGATCTGAAAAGTAATAAAGTTTATAAACTCTAGGCAATAATACCACAAAGAACTTATTCTTTTATTACATTGCATTTTTAAAGCAGCTTATTTTTCTTCAACCAAAGGAAACTATGTATATTAAAAATTACTGAGTTATCAGCATTAGACCTAATGATCTTGATAGATATTTGAATGACTAATTCCCATTTTGATTTTATATTTGCATGTTCAAATTATTATTTAATTGTGAAGTAATCAAAAAAGATAACTTTTTCCTCTTGAATAATAAACATGAAATTTGCATGTTATATTTACAAGTAAAATTTAAGTCGATCTAGAAGTGGATTTCTTAGCATCAGACTGCTTAGTTGTATTTTTACCAACATGTTGATTGTATTTTAATAATTACATATGGACTCATGCATCCATCATACACAGAATAATTGTAAAATCAGCCAATTAATTGATGACCATGCCTCAGTCAGTTTTCAGTTATCCATGCTAGTGGGAAGGAGTTATAACAATCCTAAGAAAACAGATGGTCCAAACCCGTTTCTTGAGTTGAGACTCTTATCACAGAAGAATCACAATCTGAACAAAGGTTAGTGACAGAAGAAGAAAACTTCTCTTTGGCTGTAGTTTAGAGAAAAATGATTCTACTTAGTGTAATTACTGTAAGCCAAGAGGAGGATTCACACACCCACAAGTTTAACATGAATAAGGAAAAGTTTATTTTTTAATGATGTAATTATTTATTTTTGAAATATGCAAAGGAAGAGACAGAGAGAGCTTCCATCTGCTGGTTCACTTCCCAGATGGCCACAATAACTGGGTCTGGGCCAGGCCAAAGCCAGGAGCCTGGAGCTCCATCGTCTGGGTCTCCTACATGAATGGCAGGGAGGGGCCCAACCTTGCACCATCATCTGCTTTCCCAGGCGCATTATCAGGGAACTGGATCAGAAACAGAGAACCACCACTTCAATGCCAGTTTCCTAAGTGGCAACTTAACCCACTGTGTCACAATACTGGTTCCAGGAAGAATTGATTTTTTTGGATATCTTAAAATATGTGAATTAAAATCCCTGTGGGATCTTGGAAATACTATACATTTTAATACATTCTAACCTATCAGCAATGACATTAGTTTTATCCCTGTGTATTGACTTTGATTTAGTAACAAGTTATTGCAGTAGAACAGTATTTAAGTTTCTATGTACTTCTGCCTGTGTTATCTTAAAAATGGGTATTTTCTATGAGACATGGTTGTAAAAAAATATATTTCCTCTCATACTTATTCCTTAAGGGTTTTTTAAAGTAAGGGATAGTTGTACTATCTTAGCCTTTATGTTTTTCACTTTTATAGCATTCCTAAAAGCTGGCTGCATACAAATGAGTTGATAATTAAACATTTTTTCTAGAACTAAAGTATACCTTTTACATGCTTACTCTTTTACAATATCCTAAATAATTGCATATCCTTTTTCCCCTCCCCAAGTAAATTCCTAAGGAAATAAACTCATTTCTCAAAGTATTTTCTGCACTTTTATCACACCAACCTGTACTTTGTGTCCATACTGTGACTTAAATCATACTTCTTCAGGCAGAGTACTAGCATGTGACAACTTACAGAACGCTCCAGAAATGTTATTCCCACCCCTTAAAGGTTGGTGTCTGGTCCTGGTACAGCTCTGGAGGTCCATGTGGGTGAAAAGCCCAGAAGCAACCTGAGCTGGGAGCACTCCCAAGGAATTTGGTTTTGTTTGGGTTTGTTCTAGGTATGGTCCCAGGGATCCCAGATCAAACCAGGCCCCTGGGCCTATCCTAGAACCAACCTAAACTCGCGCATCATTCCCGGAGCATCGAGAGTGTGAAGACTGAAGATGACCTGAGGCTGAGCAGACACCCTACGTTCACCAAGGTTCACATTTGTGTGTGCGTGCCTACATTTTTCACAAGAACTGGTTGGTTAACCCTTCAAAATTAGTGGGATGGCATTTGGTAACATGGTAAATTTTTTTTAACTTTTTTTTTTATTTGATAGATAGAGTTAGATAGTGAGGGAGAGAGACAAAGAGAAAGGTCTGCCTTCTGTTGGTTCACCCCCCAAATGGCCACCACGGCTGGAGCTATACCGATCCGAAGCCAGGAGCCAGGTGCTTCTTCCTGGTCTCCCATGCAGGTGCAGGCGCCCAAGCACTTAGGCCATCCTCCACTCCCTTCCCGGGCCCAGCAGAGAGCTGGACTAGAAAGGCAACTGGGACTAGAACCCGGCGCCCATATGGGATGCTGGTGCCGCAGGTGGAGGATTAACCAAGTGAGCCATGGCGCCGGCCCCCAACATGATGAATTCTTTCCTGCCTTTGGCATTACAATAATTTCTTATAACTGAAATTCTCTATGGTTCTATTACTTGCCAGTGAGAAGAGTTGTTCTTGTAACTTTTATGGTCAGATATCTATTTTTAGTTGAAGCAACATAGCCACAAAAACAGAATATCAGTCCCTCCTCCTCAAAAAGTTGTCCCCCAAAATTAATGGCTTTTATTTTCCTAAACATTTTCTACTCATCAAAATTATATCCACTTTATATAACTGAATAATTGATCGTAGATTTGAGGGGCAGTTGATCTTTGCCCTCTGGATCCAATGCCAAGTGATTTGAAAATCTTGTTTCTGGAGACCAGTGCCTTTTTCTTCTCATCTGTTTTTGAATCTCACATTTTATAGTTCCATTTAGAGATTCTGTTCTGTTAATGAAAAATAAACCAGGATTATGTAGTGGAATTGGTTAATACTTGATATTTTCATCAGTACTTTGCAAATTTTTAGAAAGTTTATTTTCCTTCCTGCTCTGTATTTTTTAAAATATTCTGACTTAATTGAGTCTTCACTCGGTTGCATTATCATAACTGTGGTATTGCTGGTAATCACATTATATTTTTCTGTTTAATTTGGAAGATAAGATTCCTGAAAAGGCATGAAAGGAACCCAGGTCCAAAAGATATGTTACACAGTGAGACTGTATTCTTGTGGCTTTTGCAATAGATTTAGACCAAGTCTGAAATAGTGACATGTGTGAAAGGTGCTTAAAATTATGCTATTCCTCCAAGCCTTACCACACACAACACTGGTTGTCCTTTAAAATAGGCTGGAGTCTAGTGAAGTTCGGTCTGAAGAGTTTAACCATGTGGTTACTCTGTACTATGGATGCTTTGTCCCATAGATTCTATTATTGTGTTCTAAGTCTGACTGTGTTTTCACTTCTCTCTGTGTTCTCCTTTCTGCATAGTATTTTCCTATATCAGTGCACTGATCTGGAGCACAGTTCGTTTTCTTTCTTGACATAGCCTGAAATGGGTGACCTCATCTTACTGTTATATACAGTATGTGTTCTCAATATTTCGGGATCTTTGCTCTCAATTTTAACATTGTTAATTATGAACACTGAAAATAGGAATTTGTGAACTGTTTAAAGAGTTAAGGCTTATTCATGTAATAAGCTTTTAGAGTCAGCCTTCAGTTCAGATACTTAGTGGAGTGTTAAGTTGTATCTTTAAAATTATTATTTGAGAATATTTTTGGAGATATTTTAATTTTTTGACCACTTGTTTTATATATTAGAACTATACATTGCCTACCCCGTCTGAAGACTTGAGATTACAAACTTTTGAGAGATGGGGGGATCCTCTTTTTTTTCTTCCAGTTATGATCTTTTAAAATTGTACATAAGTTTTACCATCTTGGCTATTTTTAAATGTACAGTACAGTAAGGTTAAGTATAAACACATTGTTATTAAACAGATCTTAAAACCTTTTACTTTGCAAATCTGATATTCTGCACAATTCCCCGTTTTTGTTCCTGATAACTCCTTGAGAAGTGCCAGTCTACTTTGTTTCTATGAATCTGACTACTTTAGCTACTTCATACAAGTGGAATCAGACAGTATTTGTCTTTTGGTAACTGGCTTATTTCCCTTAGCATAATTCCTCAAGGTCCATCATGCTGGTTGGGACAAGACTTTCTTCCTTTTTAAGGCAGAATGACACTGCATATATTTTGTTGGTCCATTCACCTGTCAGTGGACTTCAGGGTTGCTTCCTTCTCTTAGCTGTTATGAATAATGCTGCTGTGAATGTGGTGTGAAAATATCTATAACATTTTAATGCAGTACTTTCTTTAACCACTTTCTGTATTTTATCACAATGAATTTTTTTGTCAACTACTTTAAAGGGTTTTACGAGAATCCAACTATAGGTTTGTATATGTCTATATCATTGTTGCTGCCCCTAAGCTTAAAAAACTCTCTAATAAACTTTTTAATTCCTTATGTCTTTTTTTGTGTGTACCTTTAAAAAATTTTTGTTGTTGTTGTTCATATGAGAAACTGAGACAGAGAGAGGGAACTCCCATTGCAAGGGCCCAAGCTGGGCTAGGCCCAAACCAGGAACTAGGCACACAGTCCACGTCGCCCACATGGGTGGCAGGGACTCCACTACTTGAGTCATCACCTGCTGTCTCCCGAGATGCACGTTAGCTGGAATCTAGAGCAAAGCCAGCACTGAACCCAGGCATTCCAGTAGCGGATACAGGCATCCTAACTGGTGTCAACCACCGGGCAAAGTGCCCACCCATTGTCTGCCCTTTTTATTCTGCTATTGCAATGTGGATTAACAGCCAAAAGGTAAAAATCCTTTTATTCTTCCTTCTGTCTCTATTTTTCTTCTATTACAATATTTTTAGAATTTTTTTTTAAGATTCATCTATTTGAAGGTCAAAGTCACAGAGAGGCAGAGGCAGAGAGAGAGATGTCTTCTATCCACTGGTTCATTTCCCAAATGGCCACAATGGCCAGGGCTGTGCCAGGCTGAAGCCAAGAGCCAAGAGCTTCATCCAGGTCTCTGATGTGGGTGCAGGGGCCCATCTTAGGCCATCTTCACTACTTTCCCAAGTGCATTAACAAAGAGCTGGATGAGAAGTGGCGCAGCTGGGACTCAAACCAGCACCCATTTGGGAAGCCAGCGCCATGGATGGTAGCTTAACTTGCTATGCCACAGCACCAGCCCCCTAGTATTTATTTAATGTACAAAAAAAAAAAAAAAAAAAAAAAAAAAAAAAAAAAAAAAGACTGATTGCCTGGGAAAGCCTTTGATTCATTAGTCCAAGTTTTATTTGTTCATTTAAGTGTCTCATATGATTATCAGAGTAGAAACAGCATTTAAATTTAATATTTCCATTTTTACCATTCCCTGTGGCCATCAACCACTGGATACAATCTAAGCATATTGTATTTTTTATGACTTCCCTGACAGAAAAGACATATTGACACCAAGACAGACATTAACATGCAGTGGCTCTCCTTGCATGAATTAGTTGAATCAAAATTATTTATTTGAACCTTTCTAGGTTTACCTACGTTATTGGGAACATTTTATAGCAACTCCAAAAATGGCTCTGTAAACTAAATACTGGTTAAAGAGAATATAGCCTTTCTTGAACTGAGCTTTTAAGTACATAATCCACTTCTTTGCAGAACAGCTTTTGAGGCAAGAAATAAATATAAGGGAAAATTTTATAACTTGGCCTTTATCTGGGATTTTCTAATTAAAAGTGTGAGATGCAGCAGACTCATAGAATGGCAGATGTCCTAAACAGCACTCTGGCCTCAGAATCAGCCCTTAAGGCATTTGGATCTGGCTAAAAACCTTAGAGAGTATTTCAGTCATGGAAAGCCAAGACACTCCGGGGGAAAAAAAAAAAAAAAAAAACCCTAAACGAAAGATCTCTGTGAGTGAGATCCCAGCAGAAAGAATGGGCCATCAAAGAAGGAGGTACCTTTCTCTGAAGGGAGGAGAGAACTTCCACTTTGACTACGACCTTGTCTGAATAAGATCGAAGTCGGTGAACTCAAAAGGCTTCCAAAGCCTTGGCAACTCATGACAAGAGCCTCAGGTGATTACTGACGCCATAAATAAAAGTGTCAATTGTTAAATCAACAACAGGAGTCACCATGCACTTACTCCCCAAGTAGGATCTCTCTCCTTAATGTGTTGTACTATGTGAATTAACAGTATAACTACTACTCAAACAGTACTTTACCCTTTGTGTTTCTGTGTGGGTGCAAACTGTTGAAATCTTTACTTAGTATATACTAAATTGAACTTCTGTATATAAAGATAATTGAAGGCCAGCGCCGCAGCTCACTAGGCTAATCCTCCGCCTTGCGGCGCCAGCACACCGGGTTCTAGTCCCGGTCAGGGCACTGGATTCTGTCCCGGTTGCCCCTCTTCCAGGCCAGCTCTCTGCTGTCGCCAGGGAGTGCAGTGGAGGATGGCCCAAGAACTTGGGCCCTGCACCCCATGGGAGACCAGGATAAGTATCTGGCTCCTGCCATCGGATCAGCGCGGTGTGCCAGCCACAGTGCACTGACCGCGGCGGCCATTGGAGGGTGAACCAACGGCAAAGGAAGACCTTTCTCTCTGTCTCTCTCTCTCACTGTCCACTCTGCCTGTCAAAAAAATTTAAAAAAAATAAATAAAGATAATTAAAAATGAATCTTGATGTGAATGGGAAGGGAAACGGAGTGGAAGATGAGATGGTTGCGGGTGTGAGGGAGGTTATGGGGGGGAAAGCCACTATCATTCAAAAGTTGTACTTTGCAAATTTATATTTATTAAATAAATGTTTTAAAAAAAAAGTGTGAGATGAGGCAAGAGGTGTATAATTTACCAAACTCCAAAACTGTTGAATAGGGTATACTCACTTGGTTATCACTCCTTGTCTTTGCAATTTCTTTTTGAAGATTTTCAGCAGATGGGATATAACCGTTGATGTTTAGGTTGGCAGTAACTAATTTTGCCCTAATGTACATTTATAAAAGGCAATAGGACGGTTACAGAATCTGGTCATAAAGTAGCCCTATTTATATGAAGGGAGATCGTCAAATGTGTTCAGATGTTTATGTCCCTAGAACTTGAATCTGTTTAAAGAAAACGGGCTCTCACTCAGCTGCACATGCAGAAATAGTAGCCTAATTCTAGAAAACATGATTGGTTGTTCTTATAAGTTATGTACATTTCTTTTCACAGCTGCCTTCTAGGAGACAGGATAGAGCCCTTGAATTTGGAAGTCAGTAGACTCAATACTAAACAAAACTACTCCAAAACTCAGGCAAATCATTTAATCATAGCAGGCCACAGTTTCTTCTGTAGAGAAAATATTAATTATGATTTATGAATTGGGCTGGACCTCTTCTATTTCTAAAATTCTTTGTATCTCTTAATGAAGAGAAATACTGTATTATTTAAAGTTGAATTTTTCATTCCGTTCTAAAATGCAAGAAAGGGCTTATTTTGTGGAATAGTGAAGAATTTGAGAATATTCAACTTGTGGAGGTTGAAAAGAAAGGTTAAGAAAAGGTAGGGAGACAGTTTTAAAGGATAGGGAGGGCAGAGTGCAAGGTGAATGGTTCCTGCACAGAACTGAATGCTGCTGAGAACAAAGTGTACCTCCTGTCTTCAAGTACTGACCGCTTGAAACACAGGGGAAGTATTTGAGTTCAAAAGAGACAGCAGTTCCTTAGGACTTACATTATTCCTTTCCCCCTAAAATGGCTTGATCTTTTCATCATGAAGGGATGGTCCATCAAGAACTTACCGAATGTCAATGGAGTATTCTAATTCAGCTTCATTTCTACAACAAGAGAATATTTTGGTCTAGAACCACCCATATAGGCAGCCCTGTCTGGAATACAGTTCTATATGGTTCCTTGATCTGTCCTTGGCTTTATTCTTCAGTGTCCGTGCCACTATCAACCACGAAGCCATTTATCTTGCTTGAACTTAGAAGATTAAGCTATGATTCATGGGTAATCATGGCTAACAATAAGTTATCATACAAAAGCTATGTGCATAGTGTGTAAGATCTGAAGAATGTAAATGATTATTTTTTTTTTTTTTTTGACAGGCAGAGTGGACAGTGAGAGAGAGAGAGACAGAGAGAAAGGTCTTCCTTTTTGCCATTGGTTCACCCTCCAATGGCCACGTGCTGATCCGGCAGGAGCCAGGTGCTTCTCCTGGTCTCCCATGGGGTGCAGGGCCCAAGCACTTGGGCCATCCTCCACAGCACCCCTGGGCCACAGCAGAGAGCTGGCCTGGAAGAGGGGCAACCGGGACAGAATCCGGCGCCCCGACCGGGACTAGAACGCGGTGTGCCGGTGCTGCAGGTGGAGGATTAGCCTAGTGAGCCTCAGCGCTGGCCGTAAATGATTATTTCTAAACAGCTACATAAGGATGACTTCTAGCCAATTCTTTCCCCAAAATAAATGTGAAATGCTTGTGTAACAGTAAAAACAAAGTGTAATTTCATTTATTTTTTAATGTTAAAAGAATTTTTTATTTGAAAAGCAGAGGAAACCGACTGAGCAGAGATTGCCGATCCACTGGTTCACCCCTGAAATGCCCACAACAGGCAGGGGTGGGCCAGGCTGAAGCCAGGAGTCCAGAACTCACTCTGGGTCTCTCATACAGATGGCAGGGACCCACCTACTTGAGCATGACCTGCTGCCACCCAGAGCATGCGTTAGCAGGAAGCTGGAATTGGAAGTGAAGCCAGGACTCAAACCCAGGCACTGTGATGTGTGATGTGAACATAATAATATTCTCTTCCTCCCTCTCTCCCCTTCCTCTGCCCCACCCTCCTTCCATCTCCCTTTCTTTTGATCATTTTTGAGATAGCAGGTTACTTCACTCAACATCGTGTCTTCCAGTTGCATCCATTTTCCAGCTCTTCCACTTCTGATCCAGCTTCCTGTTAATGTGCATCCAAGGAGGCAGCAGATGATGGCTCAAGTACTTCACCCACGTGGGAGACCAAGGTGGAGTCCTGGAGGCTCCTGGCTTCAGTCTGGCCCAGCCCTAGCCATTGGGGGCAACTGGAGGGTGAACCAGAGGATGGACAATCTCTCTCACTGTCTCTCTCTCTCTCTCTCTGTGTGTGGGGGGGGATAGAGAGAGAGAGAGAGAGAGCCTCTGCTTTTTAAATAAATGCAAAGAAAAGGAACTGCAAAGGAGACTGAACAAGGAGCAGTCACTGACAGAAGTTGTATACTGGGGCCTGTGCTGTGGAAAAGCTGCCGCCTGCTCTGCCGGCATCCCATATGGGCGCTGGTTTGAGTTCTGGCTGCTCTACTTCCGATCCAGCTCTCTGCTATGGCCTGGGAAAGCAGTAGAAAATGGCCCAAATCCTTGGGCCCCTGCACCTGTGTGGGAGACCCAGAAGAAGCTCCTGGCTCCTGGCTTCAGATGGGTGCAGCTCCGGCCATTGTGGCCA